ATGGAAGACACTGGGCGACAGCGGGAGACAGTGATATTGCACGTACCCGACCCAGCTACAAAGCTTGCAAAACCAACGGGCTCATCCAACATGAACGAACACATCTGAAATCGCGTGCTGTCCCGTGTGAAACATACAAAAAACAACAACAAAAAAAAACATACACCAGGAGACTGTCCATCGCATGCACAAAGGGGGCCTGTATGAGGTGGCAACAGGTGAAAGGAGATGCTGACGACAGCCAGGACGAGAAGGAGGCAGGGCTAAAACATGAGGTGGTGATAGCACGGGCCAACAGGAACACTACCATGAGGCGGGGAACAGAGTACGGCAAGGATGGCGAGGGGGGGAAACGACACGCGACCGATGACAACGGAGCGAATGCTGCCATGCCGTCCATGCAACAACGATCCTAAATAGAAACATGTATCCAACATCGGGCATTCAACCCTGCACCGCGCAACGCGGGCACTAGGACCGCACTCCGCGTGACCCCCCCCCCTAGTGCTCGCGAAAATGGCGACAGGTGCGCATTCGGAAGGCAATGCCTCGTTCGGGTCTGCGTGGGACGTCACTCCGCTGCATCCAGGCTCACAGAAGTGCCGACAGAGGAGTAGAGGGCAGCACCAAGGACTCGAGCCCGCTTCTGGATGAGCGTAGGATGTCACTCAGCTAGATATCCCAGGCGCGCAAAAAAGTGGCGACGGCTACGCAACTTGCAGCATTCAAGGCAGGCGAGGTCTCCATTCGTTGTGCGCAGCCATGCACTCCGCTGGTGCCCCGGGAACACACGAAAGGCACAACACCTCACATGCGTCCCCGTAGCCCCTCACCCCGACCAGGCCGACAGTGAGCACACAGGAAGGCGAGGTCTCGTTTGCGTCTGCGTAGCCCAGCGCCCCGCTGGAGCCCCAACGAGCCCACCAACGTGCTGACAGTTACGCAGTTGGCGGCACCGAGAGAGGCGAGGTCTTGTTTGGGCCTGCGTAGCCCTGCACCCCGTCGGATCCCGAAAGAGTTCACAAAACTGGGCGCGTGTGGGTCTCGGTGGCCTGTGGGCGGCGCGTTGGGTCTGCGTGGGTCTGGTTGGCCTTCGTTTGGGTATGCGTGGCCCCACTCTGCGCTGGACGTCCAGGAGCGCACGAACGTTGCGACAGTTAGGGGTTTAGCAGCACCGACGTCGAGCGAGGTCTGATTCGGGCGTCGCCCCATACTTGCTTCTCGCGAGGTCCACTGAAGTGACTAGCTGGCTGACTGTCTGACTGGCTGACTGGTCGCACCGTTCGCATGTCGGTCATTTTTCGACCGCCGAGTGCGGAACAGATAGCGCAAACAAAACCAGGCTTCTTGATCATCGGCCGCCGAATGCGCAACCTATTGCGTATCAAATGCCAGGCCGTTATGCTCTCGGCCGCCGAGTAGGCAACCTATGGCGCAGCCAATGGCAGGCCAGTGTGTGCTCGGCCATCGCATGTGCAACCTGTGGCGAAACTAAAGGCACTTAATGCGCAACCTATGGCCCAACCAACATCAGGCTGTTGTTCACTCGGCCAAGAATGTGCAACCTTTGGCGAACACACTCGTAGAAGGTAGTTCGATTCTCGGCCACCGAAGGCGCGCGCAACCTAGATGGCACGGCAAGTATAAAACTGTCCGATGGTCGGCGACCGATTGCGTAACATGTGCCGTCAACAAAGGCAGGCTGTTTTATCACCGGCCAGCGAGTGCTCCGAACGCTGCACCCATCCCAGAAACCTTCTCATCATGCGAAGGGTGGTCGTAACGGTATTATTTCACATACATGCTAGGTGCTTGAATATGCGTTGCACTTGTGATGTAGGCGCGCTTGGGACTGAAAGGAGCCAGAGGGTCCTTCCTGATCCAGAAAGAGCGGTCGTAAGGTCGAACGTGCTTGCTTCAGCCAGCAGCAGTAAATTCTGAAACCGACGCCTGAATGAGGCTGGTAGCAACTCCGCCACCGTGCCGCGAGACACGGAATGGAGCGACCTCGGGTCCTCAAGAGCCCCCAATCCTCAATAGTGCATAATTACGGTGAGGGCATTGAAACGGGGACCCTTGGATAAGGAATCCAGGGTATGAAGGCCATCGGAACACCGATTGAGACTTTGCCATGGGCATCGCTGTAATCACCGCCGCAGTCGTCAGATAATGAATCCTCCAGGGTCTGAAGCCTCCCGGGGACATTCCTTACGAACGCCCCTACCGTAGTAACCCATGCCCTGAAGGGTGCCCAGGGCCCCGAGCGCTTGACTTCCCAGGGCGGCTCGCGTGCCTCTTGGGGTGCTCTGCAGGCCTCTGTGGAGGTGTGGCGCGCGTCTGCTCCCGGGTGCCAGGAGGCCCCGACGTGGGCCAAGAGGGTCCCCCTCCCCTCCCTCCTCCGCTGCTCGTGTGGCTCCTTCCTACCCCTTCCCCACCCTTCCCCCCTCCCCTCCCCCTCCCCCTCCTCCTCGTCCTCCCCCTCCTCCCCTCGGCACGGACTCGATTCGCCGGAGTCTTGGTTCGCCGGGGCTCGGATCGCCGGAGCTTGGTTCGCCGGGGCTTGGTTCGCTGGGGCTCGCTTCGCCAGGGCTCGCTTCGCCAGGGCTCGCTTCGCCAGGGCTCGCTTCGCCACGGCTCGATTCGCCCAGCTCGGTTCGCCGAGACTCGGTTTGCCGGGGCTTGCTTCGCCTGTCTCGTTTCGCTGGGGCTCGTTTTGCTGGAGTCTCGTTTGCGCTTGAGTCTCGTTTCGAAGGAGGCTGGTTTCGCCAGAGTCTCGTTTCGCCAGGGCTCGTTTCGCCGGGGCTCGTTTCGTCAGGGCTCGTTTCGCCAAGGCTTGATTCGCGGGGGCTCGCTTCGCTGGGCACGTGAAGGATCCAGAGGAGGAGGGGGAGCAGGCAGGCGGACCCTGACGGGCGAGTCGGGTCGGGCGGGCGGACCCTGACGGGCGGGTTAGGTCGGGCGAAACATTAACGTATGACGTTTCATCCAGTTAGCACGCGCGAGCCCGAAAGGGCGGGTCGGGTCGGGGGCGGACCTTAACGGGCGGGTCGGGTCCGGGGGGCGGACCTTACCGGGCGGGTCGGGTCGGGAGGGCGGATCCTGACGTCGGGTCGGGTGGGCGGACCCTATATAACGGGCGGGTCGGGTCGGGTGAGCGGGGCATTAGCACGCGAGAGCCCTAACGGGCGGGTCGGGTCGGGCGGACGCGAGATTCAAGTATGACGCATCATCGAGTTAGCACGCGCGAGCCCTAACGGGCGGGTCGGATCGGGCGGGCGGACCCTAACGGGCGGGTCGGGTAGGGCGGGTGGACCTGAACGGGCGGGTCGGGTCGGGCGGGCGGAGCCGGTCGAATCGAGACTCGGGCGAACTGAGCCTGGGCGAATCCAGCCGGGCGATTCGAGCCCTGGGCGAATCGAGCTGGGCAAATCGAGTCCCGAACGGATCGGCGAATCGAGCCTCTGGCGAATCGAGCTGGCCGAATCCAGCCAAGGCGAATCGAGCTGGGCGAATCGAGACAAGGGCTAATCGAGCCGGACGATTCGAGCTGGGGCGACTCGAGCCGGGCAAAGAAAGTCGGGCGAATTGAGAATCGGCGACTCGAGCCCAGCGAAGCAAGCCAGGCGAATCGAGACTCAGGGAAATCGAGCCAGGCGAATCGAGCCGGGCGAATCGAGCCTCGGCGAATCGAGCCAGGCGAATCGAGCGGGGCGAATCGAGACTCGGCCGAATCAAGCCGGGCGAATGGAGACTCGGTGAATCGAGCCGGGTGAATCGAGACTCGGGGAATCGAGCCGGGCGAATCGAGACTCGGGCGAATCAAGCCTACGCCCTCCCCTCGTCCCCCCCCCCCGAGCTCTTTCGCGCGTCCCCTCGATACCACCAGGCCGGTCCCATGGGACCCCCGAGACGGCCCACGAGCGCTCAAAGACGCCAGACTGGAGGCGGGGCCCCCAAAGACGCCCCAAGAGGGCTTCAGGAGGACCCCCAAGAGGGTCCCAAGAGGAGAAGAGCATAAACTCCCACGTGATGTTTGAATGAATGATCAGTCTTCCAACGCCCCAAGGCAACTCAAGAGGCGCCGAAGGTCGCCCCACGAGGTCTTAGGAGGATTCCCGAATCACTCCATCCCAGCACAAGAAGCCCCGACGAGACCCACGCCCGCCCCCAAGATGCCGCCAAGAGGTCCGAGATAGTGCCCAACGTTTGGCCGCATGGGAATTTCCAAAGGCCAGTGGTGACTGTGGTTCGCCGTAGGCGTCTTCGATAAATTCACGAATGTTTACAGCTGCGTGCGTGCCTATGCCCTACGAAGCCACTTGAAAGATTCCGACTGCACCGAAATCCAGCATTCTTCTGGCCAAACAACTAATAATCAACCTCTACCAACTACACTAAACGGCTTAAAATGTCGGCGTCGAGGACATCCTGCGGCATTCAATCCAGGACCCTCCAGACTCTAGACGAGACGTTCACTTAAACCGTGCTCTCCCATCCGCTTAACTCTCCTGCTCGTCTTGTGCCACTGTAAATGCTTGTGCCCCATTTCCTATTCGACAACCCCTGGCGCTTCAGACCGGCGCGCGGATGCAATGCCAACAGCGACCACCGATCCTGGATTGCCGTCCTGAGGCGAGCCTTGCACAGTGTGAGATGCTGACCCTTGTGTTTTGGAGGCTTACACAGACACCAGCGTGCCGCTCTCTCCATTATATTCGCCGCTTCCTTGTGTCTCGAGGGTGTGTCAGACTGGCTCGACTAGGCCCTGCCAGTCCAAACGCGTTGGCTTACCATGCCGCACCATTATATTGAACCCTTGTTCCCGAAATATTCCGCAAGCAGACAGGGAACGATAGGGACGACGCTCGAAAAAACGGTTGTCGACATGAAGCAGCATTACCTGTCAATCCGTCGGTGTTCCCCGCATGGGGTCTTATGGGCCTATCCTGCTGATGCTTCTGTCTTGCCAGCCCACATGGGATCAAGCAACATCATGCAGGCACGCCTAAGTGAGCAAACAACTGCCTATTCACGAAGGTATCCCTCGCTTGCCGATGCCAAGCCCTGGTTGTCCGCTCTACCGTTGCTCGCGCTCCTCATATTGCTCATGACGTCGTCGAGCGGAAAAGTTGAATGAGGAAAGCGAGGGGAAGCGAGAAGGATCAAGACGAGGATAATGGTGAATAATACCTGGAAGTGAGAAGCAGGAGGAGGAAAAGCACGAGAGGGACCCAGAGGGGCGGCAATGCTGAGGCGGAGGTGATGCAGTGTTGGCACCAAGCCCCTGTCCAATCGTAGGCACATGACGCTGTCATATCTGCTGCTGCTGTTTGGAGATGGCACGCAACTGCGGCGCAATCCGCATGTGTCGTGTAGCAGGGTATGGCAACTGTCAGACGCCGCACCCCCTTGCTCACGCACAGGCTGGAGCCGAGACCTCCCCACCCTGTCATCCCTCCCCCCCCCCTGCCCTCCACCATCGTCCTACTCCCCCTCCCCCTGCCATATAAGAAATGAGCCCCTGGGGAAGGAATCCTGGACCCCGGGGCAGCGGCTTCTCGTCCCGAGTCGGTCTCTGACGGTCCCGGGGACCAGGGATCGCCCAGGGAACCCGAAGAGGGCGAACACACTCCAGGATCCGCTCCGACCGGGGCCCCTTTCGGTGAACAGATGTTTTGATTCGCGGGTCGAGAGCGCACCTCTTCCGGTCGAAGCTAAGCGGGCCGCGCGAAGCTTGAATTAACAATGAGGGGGAGGAAGGGGGGAGAGCGCAGCCTCAGGGCGAGGCCGGGGGAGGCAAACCCCTTTCGGTGAACAGGTGATGGAATAAGCATAGAAACTCGGAGGTCCGCGCGGATTTCTCGGATCGCCCCCGGACCCTCCTCCCTGGCGCTCGAAGCGCGCTAGGGGCGGTGCCGGAGGCGCCGCCAAGGGGGCCCCAGCGCCGATCTGAGGAATCCGCGCGGGCCTTCGAGCTTCCATGTTTATGTCACTGTTTGTTCCCCTGTTTGAAAGGGCCCTGGGACACACAAATAAATACACACAAGTATTCACTTCGTGGAGCTCCCCATATGTGCATCTCATGTTTTATATTATGCTGTAGCGAGCGTCTGTTCATGAGCGTTTGACTATAATAGCCCGTCAACGTTGGCGACAGGCCCGACGAAGACGAGTGCATCCTTGATACAACTGAGTGGGTATGAGTCAGAGTGAGCTGAGTATGATTGAACATGAGCCTCGTCATCTTCACTCCCCCTCCTCAGCTGCCAGGCCGTGCCCTCCTCAGCCTGCGGTAACTTCGAAGCTTCCCAGATGTGCATACTCTTACTCCTCCTCCTCCTCCTCCTCCCCCTCCTCCTCCTCCTCCACCTCCTCCTCCTCCTCCTCCTCCTCCTCCTCCTCCTCCTCCTCCTCCCCCGTTCCTCCATCCTCAAAATCTGCTATGAAAGCCAAGGATGTTGAGCACAAAAACAAGCAAACCGCCTGAGACATCCCCACAAACTGGCCGCGAACGGGCCCGTGATATACCCCCTGGCGGCTCCCCTTAGGGGTGCTGAAGCCAGCGCCCCGCCTGAGACATCCTCAAAATCTACTAAAGCCAAGGACGTTGAGCACGGAAACGAGCAAACCGCCTGAGACATCCCCACAAACTGGCCGCGAACGGGCCCGTGATATACCCCCTGGCGGCTCCCCTTAGGGGTGCTGAAACCAGCGCCCCGCCTGAGACATCCTCACAATCTGCTATGAAAGCCAAGGATGTTGAGCACGAAAACGAGCAAACCGCCTGAGACATCCCCACAAACTGGCCGCGAACGGGCCCGTGATATACCCCCTGGCGGCTCCCCTTAGGGGTGCTGAAACCAGCGCCCCGCCTGAGACATCCTCAAAATGATTCACTGCGTGGAGCTCCCCATATGTGCATCTACTCGCATGGACCTGTCCGCCGTGAATGTCTAGGCGCAAGAGCTTTCGAATACTAACGGGCTTCAGTTGTGACGGTCTGGACATCAATCTAACTGCGAATGAATTGGAGTGTGAATGAGCCTCAGTAGTACAAGCGCGTCTCTGTGCATGAGCCTGGGGCCTCCTGGGGCCTCCTGAAACCTACTGGGGCTTCCTGGGGTCTCCAGGAGCCTCTTGGGACCTCCTGGGACCTGCTAGGAAGGTTTCGTGCCCCAGGAGAGGCGCAATCTATAGCAACAGACGTACATAAAACATTGCGGATTAGAGCCACTTTTTTTATGACCAAGGCAGCCCGTGCGGCACGAGCCGATCCTGCCGCCAACAAGGCGAGAGCCGCAAAATGCGGCCAGGAGGCTCCGCAAACAGCGGCCTCCAAGTTGCAGCACACTCGCCACGCCACGTGGGTGTGCAATGCGGCGCCTCCCACAAAAGGTGAGAAGCAGAAAGCGCCCAGAGGCTACCGCAACAGCTCGAGGAGTGTCGCCGCGGCAGCGGGCGCGCTGGGTCAGCGAGCGGCACGGCGGGCGCGGCGCGAGCCCTCGCCGTCGATGCGTCTGGCCGCCTCTTCGATGGACTCAGGCTCCCAGACCGCGCCTCCGTGCCAGGCCCCAGGATCAGCGAGAAGCCGTCTCACCCAGCGGAGCCCCTCGCGCTGCTGGGCAGGCGTCGGGGGCACCTCCACCCCAGCTGCGGCATCGGCGGCCTGCCAGCCAGGTCTGCGGAGGTCGCGGTCGTCGATGGGCACCGCGGCACCCTTGACGACCTGAAGTCGGAGTCGATCGAGGCGAAGGCGAGCACGAACCGCCGCACCAAGCTGGGGAGCGGGCGCGAGGGCCGCGGCGTCCCCCACCACCAGCTCCAGCACGTCACCGTGCACCTCCTCCACGACCTCCTCCTCGGGCCCTTCCTCGAGCCCGTCGGCAGAGATGAACACCACGGAGGCGTCTCCCTGCCCGTCGTCGACGTCGTCAGCCGCAGCGCCGACGGTGAGAGCCTCGGGGCCCTCCGCCACCACGAAGTCCGCGTCACAAGCCGAAGGGGGCGCGCTCGAGGCCGCGCTCGCGCCCGCCGCGGAGTGGTTGAAGCCGTCCAGCTCCTTCAGGCCGCCTCCGAACTCGTGGCAGGCAAGCTGCCTGGCCGAGCCCTGCTCCGCATGCTCGAGGTCCCCTTCCCACCAGCGGGGCCCCGAGGCGAGCGGGGCGGGCACGGGGGCAGCCGAAAGACGCGCTCGATCAGCGAGAGCGAAGCGGGCGCCGGCTGGGAGGCTGCGCCCGCGGCGGCAGGCGACCTCCCAGGAATCCGACACGCCCTCGGCGGCCGAGCGAGCCGCGGGCTGGCGCCGGTGGGGCAGGGCGCCGGAAGCCCCGCGAGGCGGCCGCAGCCGCACCGGAGGCCCAGCACCAGCAGGGCGAAGAGGAGGAAGATCTCCACGGCCTCGAACACCAGCGCTGCGACCGTGACGAGGCTGCCCCCCATGCCGACCCCGCCGTGCCCTCGGAGCAGCCGAGCGTTGCAGGCGGTTGAGCGCCCGCTGAGATAGCCTGCGCACCTCCGCCGCCGAGATCGTCGGGTTGTGGCTGACCACGTTCCGACGCCCGACGTCCAGGGTGGCTGCAGGCTCGTTGAGGAGGTCCGCCGCCATGACGGGCGCGACCAGCGCCAGCCTTGCGACGACCTCGGGGGCCGCAGCGCGGAGCAGCGGGTCCCTCTTGCCGTCCAGGTCCGCGGAGTCCTCGCACAAGCTGTCGACGTCGCCGCCCGAGCCAGCACCAGGAAGACCACCACCGTCATGGACAGCATCCGCCGCAGGGGAGCGGAGCCGCGGGCCTCCTGCGCGGCTGCGCGCGCCGCAGCCGTGGCCACCGCCTGGCTAGCGTCCAGCGCGTGGCCCAGCTCCGCCTGGAGCCGCGCGCACTCCGCCTCGAGGACGGTCACCCGCGCCAGGGCCGCCTGCAGCCGCCCAGCGCAGGCAGCGCGAGCCGCCGCCTGCCTGGAGCGCCTCGCGGGCCAGAGGGAGCCCCCAGCGCATGGCGGCTCAGCAGCCGCACGGGCTGCTTGGCCGCCGCCCGCAGCCATCTCCCCAAGCTTCCGATCACTGCGGCCTCCCGCGGGGCCCAAAACGAGAGCGAGCAGAATGGGAACGGCTTGAGCCAAAATGGCTACGGAGGGATTAAAGCCACAGGAGAAGGGCAATATATAGGAACACGCGTAAAACACCAAGGACTCGTGCCCCAGGAGAGGCCCAATATATAGGAACATGAGTAAAACATTTAGGATTGTGTGCACAGGAGAAGGACCATCTATAGAAACATACGTAGAACATCAAAGAATCGTGCTCCAGGTAAGGCCCAATCGATAGGAGCATACGTAAAACGCATGGGATTGGAGCCACTCCTGTTGCCTTCTGAGGCCTCCTGCTCCTGGGGCCTCTCGGGGCCTCCTGTTGCCTTCCGAGGCCTCCTGGCGCTTCCTGTTGCCTCCTGGGGCCTCCTGTGGTTTCCTGAGGCCTTCTGGAGCTTCCTGGGGCCTCCTGGAGCCTCTTGGGACATCCTGTGGCCTCTTGAGTCTTTCTGTGGCCTCCTGATGCCTCCTGGGACCTCATGTGGTCTCCTGGGGCCTCCTGGAGCCTGTTGGAGCCTCCTGTGGCATCCTGAAAAGAATCTGCGCCCACGAGCCTGGCCACCAAAACAAGCAAACCGATCGAGACATCCTCAAAATCTGGCCCACCTGGGGGGTGAAAATGAGCGCCTCGCTCGAGACATCCTCCAAATCTGCTCCGAAAGCGAAGGATGTTGAGCCCAGAAACAAGCAAACCGCCTGAGACATCCCCACAAAATGGCCGCGAACGAGCCCGTGCAACCACCCCTGGCGGCTCCCCTTAGGGCCACGAGCCTGGCCACGAAAACAAGCAAACCGATCGAGACATCCTCAAAATCTGGCCCACCTGGGGGTGAAAATGAGCGCCTCGCTCGAGACATCCTCCAAATCTGCTCCGAAAGCGAATGATGTTGGGCCCAGAAACAAGCAAACCGCCTGAGACATCCCCACAAAATGGCCGCGAACGAGCCCGTGCAAACACCCCTGGCGGCTCCCCTTAGGGCCACGAGCCTGGCCACCAAAACAAGCAAACCGATCGAGACATCCTCAAAATCTGGCCCACCTGGGGGGTGAAAATGAGCGCCTCGCTCGAGACATCCTCCAAATCTGCTCCGAAAGCGAAGGATGTTGGCACAGAAAACAGGCAAACCGCTCGAGACATCCCCACAAAATTCCGCGAACGGGACCCCGTGAAATACCCCCCCGCCGCCCCCCTTAGAGTGCTGAGACGAGCGAATCGCCTGAGACATCCTCCAAATCTGCTCCGAAAACGAAACATGTTGGATCAGAAAATGGCCAAACCGCCTGAGACATCCCCACAAAATTCCGCGAACGGGACCCCGTGAAATACCCCCCCGCCGCCCCCCTTAGATTGCTGAGACGAGCGAATCGCCTGAGTCTGAGTGATGACTGAGTCTGAGTGATGAGAGAGCATGAGTGAGTCTGAGTGATGAGTGAATCTGAGTGGTGAGTCTGAGTGATGAGTGGTGTGTCTGAGTGAGGACTGAGTCTGAGTGATGAGTGAGTCTTGATGAGTGAGTCTGAGTGATGAGTGTGGTGTTCTGTCCTGTTCTGTGTCCTTCCGGCGCGGTCCGCCAATAACAAGAACCCCATCTTTGGATATGGGGAATCAGCTATGAAAGCCAAGGATGTTGAGCACGAAAACGAGCAAACCGCCTGAGACATCCCAACAAACTGGCCGCGAACAGGCCCGTGATACACCCCCTGGCGGCTCCCCTTAGGGGTGCTGAAACCAGCGCCCCGAGTATGAGCAAGTCTGGGTATGAGCAAGTCTGAGTATGAGTAAGTCCGACAGGAGGGGAGGACGAAGGAGGAGGAGGAGAGGAGAAGAGGAGGAAGAGAAGAGGAAGTAGGAGGCGTCCAAGTAATAACAATAACCCCATCTTAGGATATGGGGAAATAAACATATTCCTCATATTTTCCTATATCTTCTGGGTTGTTGTCTTCCCCCCCCTTCCCATATGTTCCCATATTTTCCTGGGAATCGACGATTAATTGTGTCTGTGTGTTTCTTTCCCTCCTGACTGCTTCCCGTCAAGCTGATAGTGCCCTCTCCCCAGACCTCCGAGGTCGTGATATTTTCACAAGGTCGACCCCTGGAGGCCTCGCGCCCCCGCGCGGGGCTGGCTCTTCGACCTTGGCTTTTCCCGTTGACGGCCCCTGGGCCCAGCAAGGCCCCCGGAGGCGGAATAACGATACACACACACACACACCTTTCGCCGAAATATGTTTCACGACGCGAGGGGGTATGTCCAGGGGTCAAAAGCCGACCCCAGACATGTCCTTAGGCGTGTTCTGGTAAGGATTTCAAGGCGCATCCAACGAGGACAGTGAGAAGCCTCCCGGAGGTCCAAGAGGCGAAAAGAGTCCAAATACCTTGGTCCTCGAATCGGGTGCAACGAACAGGCGGGACAGGAAGAGGGCAGTGAGCACATCATGGCCCGAGGCATGTGCGCGGACGATGGGGGGGGTCGCAGGAGAGGTAGCGAAAGAGAAGGTGTCATGGCATCGGAGGGGATTTGTGGCCCTGGCCATGATCCCCCCCCTGTGCTCTCCCCTCCTCGACGCCCCATCAAAAACATAGAAAAACGTCCAACATATCTGGCTCCTCTAAGTTCGCGCCTCGCAATTCGACTTGGCATGAAAGAAACGGCTCCTGAGGGAAACGGGTCCTGGGCCCTGGGGCCTTCCCCCGGGACCAGCTTTCGCCCTGAGTCGCTCTCGGACAGCCCCCCGGGGCCCTGGCAATCCAAGCCGTTTCCTCGGACCTGTTTACTCCATGGCGACTCGATGCTCTCAGCTGCCCCAATGCGCAGCACGGAGCCCGTAGCGTGCTGGCACGGAGCTCGGCACGCAGACGGAAAACGTAGGTCTGGCACGATACGTTCGATCAAGCGTGGGCCCAAACCCATTGAGCCAACACGCAGCGTGCGAACGCGGACGGTTCGAACACGGCACGCGCTGCGTTTGCAAAACGGGCGCACCAGGGCGACTGCCCAGACCGCCGCCATGACATGCTCATGACGTCGACCCCCAGAGGTCTCGCCCCCTTCCCATGGCACCGCTGTTTCATGCTGAGCCGTTCCTCGCCATCGCTCGGACGTCCATTCCCTGTGTTATGTTCGGTTTCGTGCGTGTTTTTTTTTCGCCAAATGATCAAGGATGCTCCTCGATGGTTCTCGCCGAGAAAAAATGCACACGTCCGAGCGATGCCAGGGTTCTCTTGACGGCCCCGAGGCCCGGGAAAGGGCCCCCGGAAGGCCGAACACGAGGCCCCCGCAGCACCTCCCGCCGTGACTCGCCCGGAGCACTTCCTTTGGGCGGAGGGCACGGGGCGAGATCTGAAATGCCGCTCCCATGGCTTCGCGAGGCTCGCAGCTGCGAGCGGTGGCTCGCAGGGCGGACTGCTCTCCGAGGCGCAAGAAGCCCACCTGGCTCTCACCCCGAGCCCTCTCCTTCTCCTCCTCCTCCCCCTCCTCTTCCTCCCCCTCCTCCTCCTCCTCCTCCTCCTCCTCCTCCTCCTCCTCCTCCTCCTCCTCCTCCTCCTCCCCCGCCCCAAGCGCATTGCTCCGCTCGCCCGGGGCTCGGCGGGCGGGCCGAGGATCGCCCGGGGGGCCTCGCGCGCCCGGGCGGGGGCGGCGCCGCGCCGCGGGTCCTCTAGGTGCCTTCCGGCACGGGCGCCCGGCTCCGGCCGCACCGGCCCACGGCCTCGGGGGCGGCGGGGGCGCGGGGGCCGCCCGGGGGGGGCGCCCCCCCAGCCCCGACCCCCTCGCGTCATGAAAAAATCACGACGGGAGGTTTTTCGCTATTTTCGGCCTCTGGGGGCCCATACCGGGACTCGAGACCGTCAAAAAACGACTCAGGATGAAAAACCGGTCCCGGGGAAGGGGTCGGGACCTCTGGGGGTCGCGTCATGAAAAAATCATGACGTCGGGGGTCTGGGAGCGGCGCCGCGCCAGAGTTGGGTCGGGCATGTCCCCCCACTACGGGGGGGATTTTGGGGGCGAAAGGTGAGAGATCCTCCAACCATGCCCCCCAAAGGGGCAAAAGTAGTCCAAACATCGTCCCCAGACCTTTTTTTAGACTGCTTCTGAATAGACCTCCTGTAGAGGGACAGGCCCGACTTGACGCCAGAGTGACCTGGGGCAAGGGTGACCTTCGCTGCGCGACTTAATGGGGGCGCGGGGTGGCCAAGCCCGGGCGCGCAGGCCGCTGCTACCGCTTCGCGTGCAGCGATCGGGGGCCCCAAAAATTGGGCCCGCACCAACAGGTCACTCTGGGGAAAGTTCACTCTGGCGTGTAGTCGACCCCACCCCCCGTTCCTCCCCTTTACCATCGCTCGGACGTCCATTCCCCGTGCATTGTTCGGTTTCGTGCATGTTCTTTGTCGCAAGAGGGTCCCAAACGCTCCTCATGGTCCCCGCAGGGAAAAACGCACACGTCCGGGCGACGCCAACATTGGATACCATATCTTTTCGGTCGCGATGGGTAGCGATCGATCGACACTCCAAATGGGTCGCGACCGATCGCGACCGATTCCAAAACTGGTCGCGACCGATCGCGGCAGGTCAGTCGCGATCGATTTTGAAGCAAATCGGTCGCGACCGATCCCAGAGTTTGAAACAAAAGCGGAAGTGACCGATCTCGTCGGTCGCGGCTAGATCACTACAGCATCCAATGATCAGGGTCCTCCTCATCCACTCTCTTCCCTCAGCTCCCTCCCCACTGCCTCCCCAGACCCCCCTCGAGTCATGACAAGTACACGCCGGGGATTTTGTTTTTTTTCGGCCTCTGGGGGGCTCGATCGGGCCTCAAGGCCGTCGAGAAGACGACCCAGGATGAAAAACCCGTCCCGGGGAATGGGTCGAGACCTCTGGCGATGAAAGAATCATGACGTCGGGAGTCTGGGTCCTTCCCCTCGCTCGCTCCTCCCCCTCCCCTCCCCTCCCCTCTCTTCGCCTGCCCCTCCTCGTATTCCTCCATCACTTCTCGATCCTCCTCCTCAATCCTCCTCGATCCTCCTCCTCTCTCCTCGATCCTCCTCGATCCTCCTCGATCCTCCTCGATCCTCCTCGATCCTCCTCCTCGATCCTCCTCCTCGATCCTCCTCCTCGATCCTCCTCGATCCTCCTTCGCCCCATCCTCTATGCCTCCCTCCTCGATCCTCCTCCTCCTCTCCTGGTCCTCAGGTCACCCTGCATTCCAAATCCGCCCTGCCACCATCGGCACGAAGCAGGCATCTCGCGACGAGCATGTCACAACCATGCTGATCCTGAAACAGATCCCCGATCGACTGGTTCGGTCGCTTCGCCATCTGGGGGCACTGCCTCGGGCCTGGGACCGTAACAGATCCACCTGGGGTGCAAAACTGGCCCCCGATGGGCCCGAGGAGGGGTGCAGAGACCGACTTCGAGCGGGTCTGATCGAGCGTGCCGTACCACTGCCGTCGCGGTCTGGACGCCGAGGCACAGGCCCGCGGACACGCTCCGCGCGGGGCATCCGCGCTACGGCCGCCCTGTCTTCGTTGAGTTGCGGCCGAGGAGTGCATAGGGCGACGAGATCTATGCATATCCACTGCTCCTGGCCAGGCCCATCCTGGGCCCAGGAGCGGTGTATATGCCTCCCTGGCCAAGCCAGGAGGGCGTATACACAGCTCTTGGGCCCAGGATTGGCCTGGCCAGGAGCAGTGGATATGTATAGAGATCGTCGCCCTAGTGCAGAGCGCGGGGCCGTGTCTGTGGGTCGGGGGGTGCGGATGAGGGATCGAACAGAAAAAGGAATCGCCCAACCGAGAAATCGAACTCGGTGTTGGTTCGTGGCGTGCGTGGCGCGAATGCGGGCAAGGCGAGGCGATGCTGCGAGAGTTCCAACTCGAGCAAGGGCCAAGTCAAGCCAAAATGAGTCGGAACCGCCCTGGCCAGTGGATGCGGGCTGCCAGATGGTTGTCTCGATGGGCGTCACGACGGTAGTACTGATGGTTATACGGATGGTTGTCTCGATGGTTGTCCCGACGGTTGTAATTACCGATTGTTGTCCCGATGGTTGTCTCGATGGTTGTGTCGATGATTGTCCAGATGATTGTCCCGATTGCTGTCCTGGTGCTGTCTCGATGGTTGTCTCGATGATTGTCTCGATGGTTGTCCCGATGGTTGTCCTGATGGTTGTCCCGATGGTTGATCCAGTGGTTGTCCCGATGGTTGTTCCGATTGTCGTTCCGATGATTGTCTCGATGATTGTCCCGATGGCTGTCCCGATGATTGTCCAGCTGGTTGCCCCGATGGTTTTGCCAAGCCATTATTACCAACAATGTGCTTGGCAAGGCTGTCAGAACGAAGAAATGCGCTCTGCGAGGCCATTCAGCAAAATCCCCCGATTCGGCGAGTTAGTTTTCAAATGCTACAGTCTGAGCTTCAGCTCTGCTGGGGGGGGTGTCCCGGGTGGCCCTGCCAGGAAAAGGTGGGAGGGGGGAGGCTGCTCTACCATTTCTGGGGCCGCACGGGAGGGGGGAGGCGGGGGAATTCTACCATTTCCAGGGCCGCTCCCGCGCCGCAGGAGAAAAGGTCGGCAACGCCGCCAAGGCCGCCAAGGCGGCCTAAGAGAGCTCCCACACGCCCAAGATGGCCCCAAGACCCAAGACTGACCAAGAGACCCCCAAGAGGCCCCGAGAGCGCTCCAAGAAAATCCTCAAGAGGGTCCCCCAGGAGGCAACAATCATTGATGCATCTTGAATTTTCAACGTTTTTCCCCACATGTTTCGTGGGGTTCTGGTTTTCTTCCCTGCCGCGGCGCACCCGCGTCTCCTCCTCCCCTCCTCCTCTTCATTCCTCTCCTCAGCCCGCGGTCAACACGTGCACGGCAAGTACATGAGACACGCGTCTACATACAGCCGCACGCATGCACACACTCGCACACACAAGACGCATGTTCACTGCATCATACACCGAAGACGTCTGCACAATCTGTGAGGGTCGTCCAGGGCACAGCAGGCATGGCATATTCTCGACACCATAGGGGGTGCGCAGGGGGTGGTTTCTCACCGCGGCCGCTATCCGTGACGGTAGTCCAGGGCATAGCAGGCAGGGCAGATTCTCGACACCAGGAGGGGGTGCGCAGGGGGTGGTCTCTCACCGCGGCCGCTATCCGTGACCGTCGTCCAAGGCACAGCAGGCATGGCATATTCTCGACACCATAAAAGGGGTGCGCAAGGGGTGGTCTCTCACCGCGGCCGCTATCCGTGACGGTCGTCCAGGGCACAGCAGGCATGGCATATTCTCGACACCATAGGGGGTGCGCAGGGGGTGGTCTCTCACCGGCCGGTGACGGTCTGGCATCTCGTGCGCAGGGGGTGGTCTCTCACCGCGGCCGCTATCCGTGACGGTCGTCCAGGCATGGCATATTCATGGTCTCTCACGGCGGCCGCTATACTAGGGCACAGCAGGCATGGCATATCTCGACACCATAGGGGGTGCGCAGGGGGTGGTCTCTCACCGCGGCCGCTATCCGTGACGGTCGTCCAGGGCACAGCAGGCATGGCATATTCTCGACACCATAGGGGGTGCGCAGGGGGTGGTCTCTCACCGCGGCCGCTATCCGTGACGGTCGTCCAGGGCACAGCAGGCATGGCATATTCTCGACACCATAGGGGGTGCGCAGGGGGTGGTCTCTCACCGCGGCCGCTATCCGTGACAGTCGTCCAGGGCACAGCAGGCATGGCATATTCTCGACAGCGTAGGGGGTGCGCAGGGGGTGCTCTCTTACCGCGGCCGCTATCCGTGACAGTCGTCAACGGCACAGCAGGCATGACATATTCTCGACACCATAAGGGGGTGCGCAGGGGGTGGTCTCTCACCGTGGCCGCTATCCGTGACGGTCGCCCAGGGCACAGCAGGCATTGCATATTCTCGACACCGTAGGGGGTGCGCAAGGGGGTGGTCTCTCACCGCGGCCGCTATCCGTGACGGTCGTCCAGGGCACAGCAGGCATGATATTCTCGTAAGGGGGTGCGCAGGGGGTGGTCTCTCACCGCGGCCGCGCCGTGCCGGTCGTCACACAGAGGCATGGACACCATAGGGGGTGCGCAGGGGGTGGTCTCTCACCGCGGCCGCTATCCGTGACGGTCGTCCAGGGCACAGCAGGCATGGCATATTCTCGACACCATAGGGGGTGCGCAGGGGGTGGTCTCTCACCGCGGCCGCTATCCGTGACGGTCGTCCAGGGCACAGCAGGCATGGCATATTCTCGACACCATAGGGGGTGCGCAGGGGGTGGTCTCTCACCGCGGCCGCTATCCGTGACGGTCGTCCAGGGCACAGCAGGCATGGCATATTCTCGACACCATAGGGGGTGCGCAGGGGGTGGTCTCTCACCGCGGCCGCTATCCGTGACGGTCGTCCAGGGCACAGCAGGCATGGCATATTCTCGACACCATAGGGGTGCGCAGGGGGGGTCTCTCACCGCGGCGCTATCCGTGACGGTCGTCCAGGGCACAACAGGCATGGCATATTCTCGACACCAGAGGGGGCGCGCAGGGGCTGGTCTCTCACGGCGGCCGCTATCCGTGACAGTCGTCCAGGGCACAGCAGGCATGGCATATTCTCGCCACACCGGGGGTGCGCAGGGGGTGGTCCCTCACCGCGGCCGCTATCCGTGACGGTCGTCCAGGGCACAGCAAGCATGGCATATTCTCGACACCATAGGGGGTGCGCAGGGGGTGGTCTCTCACCGCGGCCGCTATCCGTGACGGTCGCCCAGGGCACAGCAGGCATGGCATATTCTCGACACCAGGGGGTGCGCAGGGGGGGTCTCTCACCGCGGCCGCTATCCGTGACGTCGTCCAGGGCACAGCAGGCATGGCATATTCTCGACAGCGTAGGGGGTACCGCGGCCGCTAAGTGGTCGTCTCGCGGCCGCTATCCGTGACGGTCGTCCAGGGCACAGCAGGCATGGCATATTCTCGACACCATAGGGGGTGCGCAGGGGGTGGTCTCTCACCGCGGCCGCTATCCGTGACGGTCGTCCAGGGCACAGCAGGCATGGCATATTCTCGACACCATAGGGGGTGCGCAGGGGGTGGTCTCTCACCGCGGCCGCTATCCGTGACGGTCGTCCAGGGCACAGCAGGCATGGCATATTCTCGACACCATAGGGGGTGCGCAGGGGGTGGTCTCTCACCGCGGCCGCTATCCGTGACGGTCGTCCAGGGCACAGCAGGCATGGCATATTCTCGACACCATAAGGGGGTGCGCAGGGGGTGGTCTCTCACCGCGGCCGCTATCCGTGACGGTTGTCCAGGGCACAGCAGGCATGGCATATTCTCGGCACCCGCGGCCGCTATCGGTGACGGTCGTCCAGGGCACAGTAGGCATGGCATATTCTCGACACCATAGGGAGTGCGCAGGGGGTGGTCTCTCACCGCGGCCGCTATCCGTGACGGTCGTCCAGGGCGCAGCAGGCATGGCATATTCTCGACACCATAAGGGGGTGCGCAGGGGGTGGTCTCTCACCGCGGCCGCTATCCGTGACGGTCGTCCAGGGCACAGCGGTATCGGCGGGGCAACGGCCACCAACATCATTCTCACATGCTTCACTTCAGCTCTCATCACTCCAGCCATAATATAAGTATGTGGGGTTCCTCGGTAGCGTAATTGAGGTTCTCGCCTTTTCCAGCCTCCCACGCTCCAAGACGGCCCAATAGGCCCCCAACACCGCCCCAAGACACCCCCAGAGGCCCCCAAGACGGCTCCAAGACGGCCCAAGAGGGTCCAGAGACGACCCAAGAGGCGCCCAGCAGGGCCCAAGAGGGCCCCAGGACGGCCCCGAAGGAGGAAAAATGAACCGACGATTGGAGCCTTCCGCCCCAAGAGGCCCCTAGGAAGCCCCAAGAGGCCCCCGAGAGGCCCCAAGGGGCTCCCAAGAGGACCCCAAGAGGCCACAAGAGCCCCCAAGATGCGCAATAGAGGCTCCCAAATGGCCCCCAAGAAGCTTCACAGCTGCCTCCAAGAAGCCCCCGAGAAGCTCCCCACGAGATCCCACCGAACCTCCAAAAAGCCTCGGACCCACCACCCAGGCACGGTGGCAGAATGAGCTGAAGCCCACCAGACAGGAGAAGATAGAAACGGCGGGACGGATCAACGCAACATAAAATATGAACGCTAAGATCCGCCCAACGACAACCCACCAACGAGCCCACCCGTCCAGGAACCAGCCCGCCAACCAGCTCTACCGACGCAAACGACGCAAACCTTCCATTCAGCACATGCTGCCTAAAGGCGACTGCCAAAATCCTTCCCCGCCTCCTCCTCCTCCTCCTTTTCCTGCTCCTCCTCCTCCTCCTCGTTCCCCACCTACCTCCTTCCCCACCTACCTCCTCCTCCTCCTCCTCCTCCTCCTCCTCCTCCTCCTCCTCCTCCTCTCCTCCTTCCTGTTCCTCCCCCTCCCCCCTCGCTCACCCTCCCTCCCGCCTCCCCGAGGCATACAGCTTACCAAACGAAATCGGCTGGACGAGAGCGCGCACGGAGCGCCCCGGAGGCGCCCCGGAGCGGCCCGGCACAGGCAGGCCGGAGGCCTCTACAGCAGAACAGGATACAGTCGGACTTGATCATGGGGAGGCCACGCGAGAGGGCACAGAAATGCAGGAGGCCACGCGAGAGGACCCTTCCGAGGACCAAGCTGCCACAGGAAGTGCAGGAGGCACGGGGCCGCAAGGCACAGGGCACGAGGGCACTCTTGATCTGGCAAAGTCAACCTACTCATCCGGGCCGCCTGTAGACTCGTTTGGGCCATGCTAGCAGACTGATGAGGTCTGAGAGGTGAGAATAGCAAAATGCGCTCTGCGAGGCTGTAGTACACAGGATTGCTCCCTGCTGGGTAAACAGCTGCCAAACATGTGCCCTGCGGGGCAAGCACATATTTAAGCAATGCGTCCAACAGGCAATGACATAAAACATGCACACTGCGGAAGCAAAACACAATAAGACCAACATGGTAACACATGCAAATAAGGAAATATGGCATACGGAATGTCAATCAATGAAAAAGCAACAGCCACCTTGCGAACCCAAAGAGAAACGACAGGCCCACAGAGAAACGTGTTAGATAATGCCTCCATCGAAAAATATTCTCTGATGCGTCCATAGGTGACAGATTGGTGTCCCAATGGGTGTGGCGATGGTGGTTCCGTTGATTGTATCGGTGGTTGCCTTAATACATAGATAGACAGATAGATAATGATAGCGGCAGATATCTTGGTAGTGAGATCAAGAGGTCGAGAAGTGGGACCGATTGAGGCTGTTCGATAGAAACGGTTATCCCCTATGATTGTACCGCTGGTTCTCCGATTGACACGGCTGTCCCGATGGCTGTCCAGATGGTGCCCCGAAGGTTGATACATGTATACGTATATAAAGAGAGATGGACAAGTGCATTGATACAGTGATCGACGGGGGTGTATACAGATGAGATTGTGATGCCCTGAAAGGCAGATACATAGAAAAGTAGGCAGATCGTATCAATATATATATATGTGTAGAATTAAAAAACCGATGGAAAATTAGACAACGACATTTGTGCACCAATCAATGTACATGTTCCGATGTGTGTCCACTCGTGAACTGAACTGCACGTTCCAAGCGTATCTAAGATTATGTCAAAGCCCCCAAGACAAACAAAACAAACAAAAAAAAACAAAAAAAAACTCCTCATCACCCGAAGGGTGGACTTACCGGTATGTTTCCCGCCCGCGAGCAATTCTAAATGTTGGCCCCGACTCTCGAGGATCCAAGGGAGGGATCTGCGGGCGTTCTCGGATGGTTGTTGGACGCTGTTGGCTCCTGAGGAGCCTCTGGAAGCACATGTGTGGACTTCCAGGGACCTGAAGGGCCACGACCTATAACGGAAGCAAGAAACGTACCAGGCAAGCATCATCACCGTCACCGCCACCGTCGTCGTCGACATCGTGTAGCAATATCACAATTAGCGTCGCGGTGTCGAAGCCGTCCACCGTCAGCACCACCGGCACTTCCCGACGCGTGCCGCTGCCAGCACGTGTGCTCCAAGAAGTCTCCATGCCTTTGGCACGAAGTTGTCGGTATACATCGTCATCGTCACCAGGTCGTTGTCACCGCCGTCACAATCACGCTCGCAGCCGTCACCTCCAAAAACATAGCGATCACATGCTGCTATGATTGCGGCTCTGGACGCACCTGCCGGTGCAAAATCTGGTGTCCAAGGGAAGACGTGGCCGCGGCAGGAGCTGCATAGCCGAAGGGCGCCTCGAGCACATCCTGAGGTGCGGCCCTCGGAAGCTTTTTACCAGTACCCGTGGGTTCGACGTCTCACAATGCTCAGCGCCGCGCAGGCTTCAGCAACTGCATGGCCGTGCAGCACTCGGAAGAAGAGGAAACGGGAAAGAGGGGAAGGAGGAGGGGGAGGAGGAACAAGAATTCGCGCCGCCCCTTGGAACACTTGAAAACGGCACAGTGAGCAGCTCACTGCGGCATCAACCATCTAAAAACTCGGACGTCCCACGAGCTGCTGCGAAGACCAGCAAGTACGCCAACTCCCTTGAAAACGCGCCCCCAACACAAAAAAACGCAATGGCGCCAATCGTCGCGATCGGAAGGACGATCCAGTGCACCCTTGCGCTTTGTAAGCTGCCCTCTTAACACTCACACAGACGCGTTTGAGGTACAAGTCGAAAGGCGAAGCGGCCTTTAGCATTGCAGCTTAGGTGGTGCAGTCAACTGCTCATCAAATGATTTCGACTGGGCTTCAGAGACCTCCGTAATCAGCTCGAGGCATTTTGCTCGAACTCGGATCGACCAATTGGGTGATCAGCAAGTACAGTCCGTAGACACGCTGTCTATACACGCCTGTCGGCCCCCGCAAGCACATCCGAACTCGTCAGGTACGCACGGGCAGGGCTGCACCACGCAGATATCAGCACCGATGGAATGAGAAAACGACTGCGTACGTAGGGAAGCACCCTGAGCAAGATGGGCAGGCATGCATTAGAGACCGTTTTTTGGAATCGGCGATACCCGGGTTATCCTGGGGGGGGGAGGAGGGGGCCGGCCGATAACCTAACCCTCGCGCTGTGGGCAGCCCTGCATATGCACGCGCCCCCCCCTCCCGTGGACCTGCACAACCAGCAAGGTTAGTTTATCCTTGAGAGGGGGGGGGAGGCAAGCCCGATAACCCGGGTTATCGCCAAGCCCTAAAAAAACAGTCCCTTGGCATCAACACGGTAAGGAAATAGCACATAAATAAACCGGGCGCCTTGCGGAGGCGATGCCGCCAAGATGGCGTTGAACGGGTGCGCCTTCTCAACCGGAATAAAAAAAGGTATGCAAAACGGAAGTGCACCCTGTCTTGGCGGGGAGCGAGGGGGGGAAGTGAGAAGGATAAGGCCTTCTCAGAAGGCGGCGGAACTTCTCAGAACCCCTCGCGCCTTCTGCGAAGTTTTTGTGTGTCTTCGGGGAAGGCTTAGAAAACTTCTGAGAAGGCCAGGGGACTTCCGAACCTTCTGAGAAGGCCCGCCCCTGCTCACTTCCCCCCCTCGCTCACCGCCGACTCTCAGGCAATTCAAGCAAAAAACGGCGGGCAACAACAACGATGGCCATCTACTACCGCAGAGAAGCCGCAACGCGCTGTTGTTGCGAAACATGAGAGGCAGCACACGGGGGGGTGATATCAGCAACTGGCGACGAATGCGGTATGCTCCCTAGCCTCATCTCTACATTCGACATCTCCCCATCAACCCACTACCCTTCACTCTCCGGTATCTACGCTTCGCTCTGGAATCAGTTCTGTTTTATCCGCCACCGTGCCGCGAGGCACTGAGTGGAGTGTCCTATGATCCCTTGGGACCCTCTGTGCATAAGAACATGCTTCAAGGGGCCCGCTACCCCGAACTGAGACGATTCTCGGGCACTTCCGGGCGCTCTTAGGTCTTGGCGCGTGTTCTTGCGTGACCTTTTCGGAAGCAAGAGAGCCCCCAAACAGGCCACAACGGCCCCAAGAGGCCCCCTAGACAGTCCAAGAGGGCCCCGAGTCACCCAAGGATCGCTCCAAGACGCCCAAGAAGGCGTCAAGACGGCCTGAGAAGCTTCCAAGACGCCCGAAGAGGATTCACAGAGGACCCCCAGGGACCCAGAGGCCCAAATCATTGATTTCCCAATTGTTTTGGACAAACTTTGGAATTCTCACCTTGTCAAGCTTCCGACGCTCCCCGACGGCCCAAGAGGCCTTCAAGATCGCCCCAAGGCAGCCCAAGAGGCCCCCAAGAGGGCCCCAGACGGCCAAAGGTGGCCTCAAGCCTCAGGATCCGAGAAACACAAACCGACTGTTGGAGAACTCTCCGCCCCACGATGACTCCCGAGACCGCCTGTAGGCCCACAAGAGGCCTCCCAGAAGCCCCAAGAGGCCCAAAAAGGTCCCCAAGAGGCATCCGAGAGGCCCCCAAGACACAACAAAACCTACTTAAAAATGCTTCGGATAGACATCCGTAGAGATGCCCACAGGCATCCAAGAGGCTTCGGACATACAACCCAGGCGCGGTGGTGGAGTGGGTCCCAGGCGGCCACTAGATACTCTCTTCTCTCCACTCTCGACCCCTGCTTACCACAGTCAACCCGTGTAACAAGGACGCAAAATAAGGATGCAAGGGCCTTGGAAGGCCATATCGACACTTTGCGAGCGGGGCGCGGCCAGCGAAAGTGGCAAAGGATGAGCTGAAGAAGAAGGATGCAAGGGTAACCTTGGAAAGTCTGTCAACCTTACTTTGCGGGTTGACTGTGCTCCACCTGTACTCTCGAAGCCCCAGGAAACTGGGTGCAACAGGAAACGAACTAAACCCAGCCGCCCAGGACCAAAAGTCTGGGCACAGGGAGCCACGGAACCTAACAACCCACCGGCATCGGCAACGAACTTTCGACCAATCCTGACAACATCATGACGCCCGCGAGAAGCAAGAGAAACATAATCTGAAATCTTGTAACCGGAAATCCGACCGCCTGCCGAAACTGGCGGCCAACGTTCGCCAAATCAGATCCGTACAACATCCGTCTGGTTGGGGAATCAACGCCAGATCCTCCGCTATGTTCTGGGGGCGACGGCGACGACGACGACGGCCAAAGACATTGCGCGAATCGATTTGTTCGATACGTGGGCCCCAGAAGTCTGGGCCCCTTCCTGGAGAGCGGCCCTTCATCCTGGACGCTTGTGCGACGGTCCCGAGGCTGGAGACATGCCTCCAGAAGCCACGCGAAACCCTGAGATCCGACGCTGAAAAAGACAACATCTGGGCGAAGGATGCAACCATACGCAGTTGTGAACACCGTCGTTGCGGGTATCGCCTTCCCGGGAGCTCCTCACGGGGCCATGAAGCCTGCGAACGGTGTGCCGACATGGGGCGGGGCCCCCATTTGGGAGATGCCACTGAGGCTTTCGCTAAAAACCCAGTATGGGGCCGTGAAACGAGTGAGGGGAACGCCGCAAGGGGCGGGGCCGCCACTATGGGGCAACGACAAGCTGTATTGAGTGGGGGAGGCGCATGCGAACGCTGCCACTGGGGCCTTCGGTGGAGCTCCCTCTGGGGCCACGAAGCGGTGTACGAAGCGGGGGAGGCGCAGTCGAACACCGCCACTGTGGCCTTCTGTGGAGCTCCCTATGGGGCCACGAAGCGCTGTACTGGGTGGGGGAGACGCATGCGAACAACGCCACTGGAGCCTTCGGTGGAGCTCCCTATGAGGCAAAGAAGCGCTGAACTGGGTGGGGGAGACGCATGCGAACACCGCCACTGGGGCCTTCGGTGGATCTCCCTATGGGGCCACGAAGCGTTGTACTGGGGGGGGAGACTCATGCGAACACCGCCACTGGGGCCATCGGTGGAGCTCTCTATGGGGCCACGAAGCGCTGCACTGGGCAGGGGAGACGCATGCGCACGCTGCCACTGGGGCCTCCGGTGGAGCTCCCTATGAGGCCACGAAGTGCTGTAGTGGGCGGGGGAGGCACATGCGAACACCGCCACTGGGGCCTTCGGTGGAGCTCCCTCTGGGGCCACGGAGCGCTGCACTGAGCCTGGGGGACGCATGCGAACACCGCCACTGAGGCATTCGGTGGAGCTCCCTATGGGGCCACTGAGCGGGGGGGACGCATGCGAACACCGGCACTGGAACCTTCGGTGGAGCTCCCTATGGGGCCACGAAGCGCTGAACTGGGTGGGGGAGGCGCATGCGAACGCCGCCACTGGGGCCATCGGTGGAGCTCCCTATGGGGCCACGAAGCGCTGTACTGAGCGGGGGAGACGCATGCGAACACCCGAACACCGCCACTAAGGCCTTCGGTGGAGCTCCCTATGGGGCCACGGAGCGCTGTGCTGAGCGGGGGAGACGCATGCGAACACGGCCACTGAGGCATTCGGTGGAGCTCCCCTTGGGGCCACAGAGCGTGTGAGGCGTGCCAAAATGGTTGACTGATGCGGAAGGCGGGGGCGCGTGGCGTTCTCTCCAACACGAGGACCCAGCACCACAACGTGGTTGGGAAATACCGCACCGTGAACCAAAATCCCGGCAGGAGCCCAAGACCCCGTCTTTCTGCGTCAGTTTTCGAGCCGGATCGTTCTGGGATGGCCCCCAAGCCCGACCCTGGGCGAAGACGCCCGGCTCGAGAGTAAACGAGACGCCAGGACCTCAAGGAACACGAAACCACTGCTGCCCCGATTCGTCGGATGCGCTGGGATGTCTGAGGGCGACGGCGGCGAAGACTGAAGAGGCCCCAGGACACACAAAAAAATACACCCAAATAAAAAGCACTCCTGATTGTCCCATATTTGCTGGGGTTCTGTCTTCCCCCCACTTCCCATATTTCCCCATACTTTTTTTTTGTAAATCGACGATTAATTGTGTCTGTGTGTTTCTTTCCCTCCTGAAAGACGGCGGCACAACGGTAGGGAGCAGGGCGCCGCGAGTAGTATGGCCGGGGCTCGACCTCGAAGGCCACGCAGGCGCCCTGGCGTGGCAGCAGGGCCGCGGCAGCAGGAGGGGGCGGCGAGGAGGGCAGAGAAGGGAAGCGGCAAGCGACGGGGGAGACAGGGAGGGGGGAGCGAGAGAGAGAGAGAGAGAGAGAGAGTGAGAGAGAGAGAGAAGGAGGGAGAGAGCGAGAGAGACAGAAAGAGAGAGAGAGAGAGAGCTATAGAACAAGAGTCAGAAAGAGAGATGGATAGGGATAGAGACGTGGAGCTGTGAGCGGGCCCCGTGTCGGACGCTGTCTTGCACGGGTGCCGTGGGGTGCAGGGGGACTACGAAAGTTTAGGGAATCTAGAGAGCCAGGGGATCCAGAGGGTCCAGGGGGACTGGGGAGACCAGGCAGTCTGGGGAGTCCAAGGAGTTCACGGGGGCCTGGGAAATCCAAAGAGGCCAGGGGCCCCAGGAATCTCGGACATCTTCTGGGATAGCGGAGTTCAGGGAGCGTATGGGAGCCCAGAGAATGCAGGGAGTCTACCACGTCCAGGGGGTCTTGGGGGACTAGGGGGCCCAGGGGCGCCATAGGGTCTCGAGGGCCCTAGGGGCCCAAGGAGCTTAGGGAATCCAAGCTGGCTGGCGAATATAGGGGGCCCGGGGAGACCACGGAGTTTTGGGGGCCCAGGGGGTAGGAAGTCCAGGGGGCCCATGCGGGTCCAGAGGGTCCAAGGAACCCGATGAAACTCGGAAGCCTAGGGATGTCCAAGGAGTCAAGGCAGCCAAGGGAGCCCATGCAATCCGGGGGATCCGTTGCAGTCCAGGGAGCCAAAGGAAATCCAATGAGCTCATGGAACCCAGAAAGTCCATGGGAGTCTAGGCGGTCAAGGGTGTTGGGAGAGTCTTGGAAGTCTAGGTGGCCCAGGGAAGTCCAACGTTCAAAGGGTCCACCGAGGCAGTCCAGGGACAAGAGAACCCAGAAGGCCCAAGGATCCAGTCGAGCCGAGCTCAGGGAATCCATAGTCCGGGGATTCCACGGGGTCCAGGAACCAATGGGGCTGATGGCTACTAGCCACTGCGTTGTAGAAGTGGAGACGTGCTACCTATAGGACCACCCTGCGGATGATAAGAAAGTTGGATGGGAATGAATGCACATGTGGCTCTGCGAATGGCGTCGCGTCAAATTCGCTAGCGACTTCGATACCTGCGTATCGATATCATTTGCAATTTGCCCCACGATCTGCCAATCGATCCACCTATACAGCTGCCAAACTAACGGACGATCTCTCTTTAGACAGATCCCACTGCCAATCGATCAACCGACATCACAATCAGATGAACCACCTACCGACCTCACTATCGAATGGTGGGTCGATCTCAAAACCAATTCTCGAAATGTGAACCACAGACAGCCCTTTCCCTTAAAGATTCTTGCTTTTGTCCCCTAGGTATTGGATGGGTCAGCCGAGGTTTCGACTGGTGCCCCCCTTGGGCACCTCGTGAGGTCGGTCGGTCCATCGAGGTTTCGCCTGGTGCCCGCCCGTGGGCGCCTCGAAGGCGCCTCATGCGCTGGGGAGGGTGGGGGGGTCAGCCGAGGTTTCGCCCGGTGCCCACCCGTGGGCCTCTCGCGGGCGCCTCGTGTGCGACTCGCGCGCTGGACGGCCGCATAGCTCCCACCACACAGCTCCCACCACATAGCTTGCACCACACAGCTTGCACCACGTGTGTTACACCGCGCAACTTGCACGACATAGCGGACTTCACAAACACTGTGCCGCGTAGCTTGCACCACATAGCTTGCACCGCGCAATTTACACAACATCCGTTACAGCATACAGCGTGCACGACCTAACTCACACCGCGCATATCTACAGTATGCATGGCATAGCTTACACATACACCGTGCAATAACTCACTTCGTGGCGTCCACGCTGGCACACGTATAGCTGCATGTGTGTAGATGCATGCGAGTTGGAAATCTGGTCCACTTTGTTTTTGCTCTTCCCAAAACCACTGCCATGGCCTTTATACTAATCATCTTAATGCTCTTGTCAGGAAATGTTGCAGGATGAATTGGTCCCGCCATCCGCGCGAATGACCTCAAGAATTCGCGCAAAACTTCGCACGCATGCCACGCGTGACACGAAATCGAAATGCGATGTCCCGGTCAGGGAAGCTTCAAGAGAAACCTTCCCACACCAACCATCAGTCGAACCTGACGACTAGAAACATCCGACTCGCAATGGCAGCGTGGGTCTCGGAACGAACGTAAGCTGAGGATTGCCGTGAACGTGCCAGTATTCGCCATGTGGATATCAATCACAATGCGACGTGCAGGGGGTAACATCAAATGCCCTCCTAATGTCTTCCTCCTCGTGGCAAATCAGAACCCCGAACCACCATGGAACCAAGAGAACCACAACACGACCGATCATGTGCTCATGAACAGCAAGACGCATTTCAGGATCACAGCAGGCTTGGTGCCGTGTTCTATGCATACATCCCATGCCAGGCGCAACCATACAATGAGACGCACGCGTGAGCACATACTCAAGGAAAACAGGAGTAATTTAACTTCGAAGGGGGTATTAATGATAACGCGATGCGACAATCATTTCGTATTCTCTGCACTGGCTGTACTGTGGAAGATGAGAATGCCAGAGAGAAAGCAGCTCAATCTTGTGCGTATGCTGGTCCTTCTCGTTGAAGCCAGTCCACTCACAATGCGTGAGGACCTGAGAGCGAAGCGCGTGCGTGTGAGCCGGGGATACACTCGCAGCCTGCGGAGGAGCATAATGAATGCTGGGAGTATATGCAAACCCGAACCGAACGTGCTACTCAGAAGAAACCACTTGGCTGTCGCCCAACCCGGTCCGCCTCAGACCCCCCCTCCCCAGATCTAACCCCCACTCTTCATTCTCCAGCAGATGAACCATCTGTTCTACACCCTTACACATTCGAGGGATATCTGGTCGATTCTGAATACGCATACAAACACACACACACACAAACGGCCGAAATCTTGAGCTGCAGGGTACGATCTGTGTGTCCATGTAGGCTCCCCCGTCGTATCTTTTGCCACCTCTACTGTTTCCTACTCCTCCACCTCATACAACCAATATCACGATTACTCACCATCATTATCACCAACAGTATTACCACCAACACCACCAGCATCAATATCAGCACTGTTTTTACCTTTGACCACTTTCGTTGGCCCGCGCGTCATGCAACTTGATGCTCACCCGCACCCTCGATGTTCACCCTCTCCATCTATGGACGTGCCTCCTGGGAAAACCACTGCAGGGTAAGACAAGCGGGCTGAGCGGGCGAGCCCGAACGGGTGGATCGGGCGCGCGGCCGCTCCCTGGCGGGCCAGGCTGGCGGGCCGTGCGGGCGGATTGTGTCTGGCAGGCCGGGCGGGACAGCAAAGCGGGGCTGCCAAGCAATTGAACGGGCGGACCCAGGCGGGGCGGGCGGGCGGGCGGCGCATGGAAGCGGGCGGGTCAGGCGGGCAGACCCGACAGGGCGATTCGGGCGAGCGAGCCACAACGACTTGGTCGGGCGGGTGGGCGGGCTCTAACGGGCGAGGCATACAAGTGGGAACCCTGAGGAAACTGTCAGGGAGGCTCGGGGGAGAGCGGGATTCTAGAGTGAACTGGGGGTCTGAATGGTTGGGACCCGAGAAATTCGGTCAGGGCGGGGGGGTCCAAGCCAAATCCGCTCAAAACAGGCCCCCGGACCTCTCCAGGGGTCCATCTGGTATAGTTCTTCACCCGGATCCGTTCTTCACGGTCTATAGGTCCCGAGAACGGCCCCCAGAAGCCGAAAAAGGCAAACCCAATTCCCGAACGCAGCGTCTCGAACCTGCCCGCCCGTCCTGCTGGCCGGAACCAGTGCTGGGCCACCTCGGACCCCCAGCTGGCTCCCACGAGGGCGAGAGCAGCCCTCTGAGTATCGGGAGCGCGCCGCCTCGGTAAGCACATCGAGGATGTCAAAGCCCCGATGCGAGGGCGCGACGCGCGAGGGCAACCGCGAGGGGTCACAGGCGAGAGCCCGACTCCTGAGCAAACTACGCGATTCTTGCAGAAGTGTTTTCGGATTCGCAAACGTATGCACGTCTCGGTGTTGGCCCTGAAGCTCGTGCACGTGGCGTTCACATCACGAGCCAGTTGCAAACAGAGCGCGAAGCAGAGACGACGATACCAACGCAGATCTATCACAGCGTTGTGCGTGTATCCTCCGATTCCTGCATAAGTCGTGAGAAAGTTTCAGGCGGGATGCGCTGCCCAGGTGCACTGCTTGAGCCCGAAGAACTTTCCTGACAAACAGCCGGATGCGAGCGCCGATGGCCGCACTTCAATTGAAGAAACAACTCGAGCCAGAAAGTGGGAACTACGATTAACTCCCAGAGGTGATAGCTTATCACCACCAACGCTCTCCCCGCTGATGCCTCCTTTCTCCTCCACTCCTCCTCCTTCCTCTGCTCCTCGTCATCGTCCTTCCGCCACCTCCACTCTTCCCGTTATCCTCGTTCCCCTCTTCCTCATCTTCGTCCCTCTCATCTTTCTTCTCCTCCACCCCCCCCAATCCTTCTCCTCCTCCTTCTCCTCCTCCTTCTCCTCCACCTCCTCAATTGCGGCCCGTTCTCTTCCTCCTCGACCTCCTCGTGGCCTTCTTCCTCGCCGTGTTCATCCGATTCATTGTGCTTTTCATTATCATCGTCCTCGTCCTGCGCGTCCACATGATCATTCTCGTCCTCATCCCTTTTCTTCTCCTCCTCCTGCTCCTCCTTCACCACTCCCCCGTTGTCTTTAGTCCTCCGCCTCCAGCTCATCCTCCGTCTCCTCTTCACGTTCATCCTCCTTCAAAACGTCCTCCTCCTCCTCCTCCTCCTCTTCCTCCTCCTCCTCCTCCTCCTCCTCCTCCTCCTCCCCTCCTCATCCTCCTGCTCCTCCACTACCTCCTCCTTCTCCTCCTCCTCATCTTCACCTCCTCGGCAAAACAAAAAGCATGCTACGCGTCAAGGGCCTCAAAGTTCTGCAGATTTCTGGATGCTCTTGGGCGCTTCCGAGGCTTGGGCTGCGAATGTCCCGAGACACTGGACGCGTCGCTTGAAATCCTCGCCTCCGATGACCAATATGTGTTTAGGATGATCCCAGGGGGCCGCCCTGGAGCTATCTTGGTGGCCGCCTTGGAGGCACTCAGGGCCCGCCCAAGAGGCAAATGAACAGCATGAAGTTGTACGACTTTCACAGTTTCGCCCATTCGATAATCAGAGCGTCCACGAAGGCCAAAGAGGCCCCAGTATAGCCCACATACGGGCGGTAACCCCGACAAAACAAAAGGACCACGAAGAACCCCACATGGGAACTCGAACTAGAATCCCACCAGCCCTCTGGGCGTAGGTGGTCTGGGGCGCTTCCTCTTCGAACCCCCTTCTTCCCCTTCGGGGGGGGTCATCATTGTTCCCTATTAATAACACCCCCTCCCCCACCTGGCCGGCAGCCAACCCGGAACCATGCGGCCCCCCCCCATCATCCCTGTCAAAAAAAATACAAAATGCACATTGCGGGGCCCACCCTGCCAACACCCTCCACAATCCTATCAAAAAACAATACGAAGTTCACATCGCAGCAACATCTGGAAAGTGCGCTGGCGCCATGTGAGCAAGTTGCGTTGTTTTTGACAGGGGTGGCGGGGCACCCTTAGTGAAACCGCTATGTGCAGGACCACCATCCGTGTCAAAAACAATGCAAAGCGCACGTTGCGACAACGACGTGGGTATTGTGCTGGCCACCCGCGATCACTTTGCATTGTCCTTTGGCAGGGGCAGCGGTGGTGCCCACATGATGATGCTTGCTGTGCGCAGGCCCAGGATAATGCTGACGCCCCCCAGATCAGCATCTGGACCATGCGGACGGGGGGGCATCACGTTACTTTCAAGGATGGTACACCAACCGCATGTGGAGCCCGCGGCGAGCGTCGCGCAACTGGCATCCACTTTGGTTCCCAGTGGCTGTCCATCCAGTGGCGACCCCTTGCTATGCCGAGACTCGGATGCCACTTATGTGGTGGGAGGGCGGGTGTGAGTGAGCTAGACGGCTTGCGTGCGGAAAGGGTGTCTTGATTACTGTTCCCTAAAAACACCCCCTCCCCCACCCGGCCGGCAGCCAACCAGGAACCATGCGCACACCATGAGGGCCCCCCCACCACCATCCCTGTCAAAAAACAATACAAAACGCACTCTGCCTCCAAATTCGGAGCATGCGCAACCAACCCGATGCGGGCCCCCCCCCACCATCCTTCAAAAAACCATACACCATACAGTTTGGGGCGAAGTCTGGAGTCATGTTCGTGAGGCCCGCGGGCGCTTTGTATATTTTTCGACAGGGACGGCGGGGGTGTCAACATCTTGCCTACTGCGTGCAGGGCTACCATCCCTGACAAACACACAATACAAAATGCACCTCGCGGCTGAATGTGGATAGTGCGCGGCCACCCGCGATCATTGTCAAGTGGTTTTTGTCAGGGACGGCGGGGGTGGTGGTGTATGGCCTGCTGTACGCAAGCCCACCAAACACAATAATGGGCATTGGTTTTCGACAGGGATGGTGGGGGCCGGCATGTTTCCCGATGTGTGCTGTCATGTGCGCAGGCGCACCTGACACACACTGCACGTGCCCCAGACGTGGCGCACCTGGCGCGGCTCGAGGGAGCATCTGGCGCACTAGGCGTGCCTGGCACGCTCGGGCCCCAGGAGTGCCTGGCGCGCGTGGCGCGCCTGGCACGCGTGGCGCACCTCGCCCCAGCGTCGCGCACATGGGCTTGGCTTTGATTCCCAGTAGCTGTCTATAAAAAGACGACCGCGGAACATACGGAGGCTCGGGTGTTACTGATGTGTTTGGAGGGCGGGTTGGAGTGAGCTAGACGGCTTGCTATCTGGAGGGTGTCTAAGCCCCTCCCCCTACCCCCTCCCCTGGACCTGGACAAGGGGGGCCGCGACGCGTTGGAGCGTCCAAAACGGCGTCGGCGAAGAAGCCAAAATCATTGGTTGTACTAAGGTTTTGGTCCCATTTTGGCCCCTTGGGGGGGCAACGCTAACTAAAGCTCCCCTCTTGTTTGATCGATGTTTTCAAGGATGGCCCCGAGAGCACCCCCAAGGCTCCCAAGAGCGCTTCAAGAGGGCCCCAAGACGCGCCCAGGAGGCCCCAGGAGGCCTCGAGAGGCGCCCAGGAGGCCCCCGAGAGGCTCCCAAGAGACCCCCAAGAGGCCCCAAAAAGCCCCCCGAGGCACCCAAAACTCTCCAAGAGGCCTCCAGGTCCGCCAAGAGGCCTCCAAGACGCTCCAAGAGGCTCCACTGCGTGCTGCCCACTTCCCTGATCGAGGCAACTCCTCCAGGCATCGTTTCTGGCTGGGCTGGTGGGGGTATTTTGTTATGCTTTTTTTTCTTTTCTTTTCGCGGCCTCGAGCGAAAGCGCAGGAGGCGTCCGAAAGCTGGCGGGGTTACGCGAGGCGTCAATAATTTCAAGCCCTCCACACCAAGATTCCCCCTGAGACCGCCACCGTGCCCCCAGGAGGCGCCCAAGAGGCCCCAAGCCGCCTCCAAGAGACCGCCAAGATGCCAGAATCATGCCCAAAGAAGACCTCCACGAGCCTCCCAAGAGGTCTCCCAAGAGGTCTCCAAAAGGCCTCTCGTCCACTACCCGAACACCCCGGACCTCCCCAGGGCACCTCTGGGTCGTGGACCTCCCCTGGGGCGTCCAGGATATCGCTACCCTGAAACGCCCCTCACGCGGGCAGCAACCAACTGGATACAGATAAATATGTGGAACGTCGTGGTATCTCCTCCTCCTCCCGCGTCCTTCCACCAGAAAACGTTGTGAGGTCTGGCATTGGCCATAGAGCGCCCCCAGCTCAAAGGCTCAAGCAAGGCCAGCTGCCAAAGGCGGCCTCCAGCGCCGCCTTTCCCGCTCCGCCGATGCCGCTGCCGTCCAGAGGCCAGATAGTCAGGCCTGTCGCGGAGGGCAACACCCCCGCCAGGGCATGCGCGCCCTCGTCGCCGATGCCGATGCCGTCCAAGAGCAACGTCTGCAGGTCGGGCATGGAGAGCAGCGCTCTGGCCAGGGCCAGCGCGCCGACGCTGCCGATGCTATTCTCGCCCAGGCACAGGAGTCTGTAGGCCAGGCATGGAGGGCAGCGCCCCCGCCGGGGCCTGCGCGCCGACGCTGCCGACGCCGTTAGGCGCAGCGTCTGCAGGCTGAGCATGAAAGGCTGCGCCCCCGCCAGGGCCAGCGCGCCGACGCTGCCGATGTTGTTCTCGCTCAAGCACTCAAGCACGGAGCCCGCAGGCTGGGCATAGGGGGCAGCGCCCCCGCCGGGGCCTGCGCGCCGTAAAACATGCCGATGTTGCTTTGGTGCCGCTCCAGCGTCTGCAGACCGGGCATGGAGGGCAGCGCTCCCGCCACGGCCCGCGCGCCGACGCTGCGGATGCCGTTTTCACTCAGGCACAGCGTTTGCAGGCCCAGCGCGCCCTCATTGCCGATGTCGTTTTGGTGCGGGTCCAATTTTGACAAGCCCCGTTCCTGCAGCGCCCCCGCCAAGGCCTCCGCGCCCGCAGTGCCGATCTTGCAGCCCTTAAGGTCCAGCTTCTCCAAACGAGCGCGCAGCCCCGCGGCCTGTTCGGGGGTCAAGGGCGGCATCCCCGTGACATGCAGCTACGTGGCGCCGCCCAGCTTGGGCAGGGCGTCGCCCTCCTTCGCGCCCGCAGGGCCGGTCCCGCAACCCTTCAGGTCCAGCTTCTCAGAAGGGTTCACAGCCCCGCGGCCTGCTCGGGGGTCGGGGGCGGCATCCCCGTGAAATGCTTCTCCGTGGGGCCGCCCAGCTGGGGCAGGGCGTCGCCCTCTTTGGCGCCCGACGGGCAGACCTTGCAGCCCGTCAGGTCCAGCTTCTCCCGGCGCGCGCACAGCCCCGCGGGCTGTTCGGGGGTCAGGGGCGGCATCTCCGTGAAATGCAGCTCTGTCACGCCGCCCAGCTGGGGCAGGGCGTCGCCCTGCTTCTCGCCCGCAGGGCCGACCTTGCAGCCCGCCAGGTCCAGCCCTTCCAGGCGGGCGCGCAGCCCCGCGGCATGTTCGGGGGTCGTGGGCGGCACCCTCGTGAAATGCATTCCGTCGCGCCGCCCAGCTAAAGCAGGGCGTCTGCTCTTGGGTGGCGGCCAGCTCCTGGAGCGCCCGCTTCCTCTCGGCCCTCTCGATGCCCGCCTGCTTCCCCATGGCCCCCGCGTCCGCCTCCGCCCGCTCGGCCCGGGCAATTGCTTCGGCGAGGAGATCTCTCGTCCTGCTCAGCTCCTTTTCGGATTCCTCGGGCTTGGCCTTCCACCCCGGCATCTCCGTGCTGCGAGCTTCACTTGCTTCTCTGGCCTTCTTCTTCCCGCCCTGCCTGCTCCGCGATCAGCTCTTTCGCCCTCTCGCCGTCGCCCAGGCACTGCGACCGATGAGCGTAGAGCGCCAGCAGCTTGTCGTCCTGCGCCCGAAGCGCCGCCGCCTGCGGCCGCGGGCGCCTGCGCCGCGGCGGGCGCGGGGGGCGGCGAGGGGCCGGCCGCCGCGGGGTCCTCCCCGCGCAGCGCGCCGATGGCCTGCCTCATCCTGCGGATGTGCGTGGGGCCGGCGCCGGCGGCTGCCAGCCTGCCCTCCAGCTGCGTGAGCTCGTCGGCGGGCGCCTCCTGCAGGTCCTCCACCAGCTCCAGGCCGAAGCCCTCGAAGATGGGGCTCCACTTCGCGCCGTGGCCCGCGCGGAGGGCCCCGAGGAACGCCCCGACGGGGCCCTTCACGGCGCCCATTGTAGCGGCGGGCTGCCGCCCTGCAGCGGGAGACAGCAGCGCGAGCAGCAGCATCAAAACCGCCCAAAACGCCATGTTCGCTGTGAGACGGGCAGTCTGTGGCGCGCGCAGTCAGAAGAGCCACGTGTCTCGAGCTCGGGCCCACATGGCTACGCACCCCATATTCCTGCTCCTCCTGCTCTTCCTGCTCCTCCTGGTCCTCCTGCTCCTCCTGCTCCTCCGCCTCTAACACGGAGGAGCTTGGAATAAAAGGATATCCGGGACCCAGCGGTCTGCCAGCGACGCGGCGCCCCCCGCAGCTCGCCCATGGGGCGGCCCATGGCGCGAGACATGCGAGGAGAGCGCCGGGCGCCGCGCGCTCCTTCCTAGCGGGCCGCCAGGCGCCCGGCTACTGTGATTGCCGCGAGGACATCCGCGTCCTCGCGGCACCGGCGCCGCAGCTCTGCCGCACCGCCCCCTTCCCATGGGGTGCCTGCGGCTGCGTCCTGAGCGGCGCGGGCTGCCAGGGAGCACGCCCCGAGGTGGCTGGCCGTCCACCGGGGCCTCTACGCCGCACCGCCGGCAGGGCGCCACCAGGCTGCCGCCGTGGGTCGTGAACCCGCCCTGGAGCCGCAGCTGCGCCCAGGGGCGGACGGCGTGGCGCACCAGGGCCAGGTCGCCGACCTCCGCCACGGCTGCGCGCGCCCCGTGCCGGGTGCAGCGCGCACTGGGCCGTGAAAGCCACTCGTCCTCTCGCGCCCGCAGGCCTGGGCCGTCGGCCTCGCGGAAGTATCGCCATGCCGCCCGCTTCCCCGCCGGCGCGCCGAAGGCCTGGGCATCCTGGGCGAGGGCGCCGCGGGCCCAGGTGGCAAAGAAGGGGATGCCGAGGTCGCTCGCGTACCTAGCTCGAGCGCGGCCGTCCACGCCACGTTTCCTGACACTCACGCGCTGCCCGCAGGACGCGGGCCGGGTGCGCCGACGGCGGCCGCGCCTGCGCGCGGGCGTGGAGGGCCGAAGGCGTGGCAGAAAGTGCTGGCGCTCAGCCTCCATGCGAAGCCGCCTTCCTGGAGGAGGGCGATGCGCGGTGCTGGTTGGGAGGGGTCCAGCAGCCGCGACACCTACCAGTCTGCAGTGGCGTCGACGCGGCGTCCCCAATCGCCACAGACGATGAGCAAAACCGCCCGCCGATGCTCCATGCATGGTCCATGTCCTGGCACCCTCGCGCCCCCTCGTGCCGACGCGCGGCGACGCTGCAGACGAGCTGGATTCCGCTCGCCAGCGGGACTCCTCCAACCTCCTCCGTCCTCCTCCGTTTTACTCCTCCCTATGTCCTCCTCCGTCCTCCTCCGCCCTCCTCGTCGCTTTCCCCCTCCTCATCCCGCAGGGGCAGGCGCGATCTCCAGCTCTACAACTCTGAAGATCCGCGGGCTGTCGGCGGCCGCCAGCTGGAAAAAAAACGATTGAGACTGCGCCTCGGCATCGTCCTCTTCCTTATCCTTCGCTCCTCATTCTCGTCCTCCTTATCCTCATTCTCCCCGTCCCCAGTGGTTCTTACAATGTAAGAAGCACTTCCCTCTCCTCTCGGCGGTCGCGGAGGGCAGGCGGCGGGGTGGGCGGGTTGGCTGGTTGGCTGGGCAACGGGGTGGCTGTTTGGGCTGGTTGGCTGACAGGCTGGCTGGGTGGCGGGGTGGCTAGTTGGGCTGGTTGGCTGGTTGGGTTGGTTGGGTTGACAAGTTGAGCTGGCTAGGGCAATTGATTTCGACACCCGAGACCTCCCCCAGGGCGCGTCGTGACCAAGAGTCCGAGAGGGATCCTCCAACCGTGGTGACAAGGGCCCCTGGGAGGCCCAACAATGCTACAACGCGTGAAGGGCGCTGGTGTTGGTACATCGGAAGAACAGAAGACAACATACACATACACTTTCGGAGGTCCGCGCGGACCATCGCATGTCAATGTGTATGTAGCTCCTCCTTCTTCAAATATGTTCATCCCTGGCCCTCCCCACACAGGTTCAGCAATGCCAGTGCTGATAAGAGACAATGAAGGACAACCAGACGGCTAGTGGCAAAAGTTCACCGTGAGGGCGCATCAGCCCCAACCTTCACGAGATTGCGCGCTGCAACCAATCAAAACGGCGTCCTGGACGCATGGCATCGAACGTTGGCGCGAAGCCTGAGCCCCGTTTGAATTGACCCCCGTCTCTTCAGCTCCGATGCTGGCTCGCATGGCTGACCCTGGGGGGACCCGCCTTGCAGAGAAAGGAGATGCTGAAGGGCAGGAACGGCAGGGAGAGCAGGCCATACAGGACCTGTGCGGCGGGGGGGGGGGGCGGTCCCCTCCCAGCCCTCCTCTGGTGGGGCCCTCGCCTCGACTAGGCACTCGTTGCTTCTCCCTCCTTTCGCCCTCCCCCTCCCTTCCTCTGCGCTTCTTCCTCGTCTCTCTTCCCTCGCAGCACGGTGTGGGCATGGGAAAATTAAGGAACCCTTGGATCAGGAATCCAGGGTCTGAAACCCGGTGGAACACCGATTGAGGCATGGCCATGGGTATCACCGCCGCCCTCGTCAGATATTGAGTCCTCAAGGATCTGAAGCCTCCTGAAGGCATTCCCGAACGAACGCCCCTTCTGGTACCGGGGCGCTGCCAGCTTCGCCTCCTCGCCTCTTCGCCTTTCCTCGCATCGCTTCTCTGGACACTTTCGTGGGTTCGTGAGGGGGGGTCTTCCCTAGGCGCTGCCAGTTGCGCAGCTGTCGCGATCTTCGTGAGCTCCTCGGGGATCCAGCGGGGTACAGGCTTTTCCGGATCGAAGCTAAGTATCCACTCCCAGAGCTCTGCCAACTGCGACACGGTCGGCTGTTTCGTAAGCTTGTGCTCACGTGCAATCCAGCGAGGTACCCGCCGAATTCCGATCCCAACTAGATTACTGGCCTTCCTAGGCGCTGCGAATTGCACACCTGCTGGCTCTTTCGTGAGCTCCTGTGGGGTGCAGCCGAGGGCGACCTCGTCCCAACAACCCAACCTACCGTGCGGACGCGGCCGCGCGAAACCCTCGCGAGAAGACCCAGCACTGAAAGCCCGCACGCGAGATGCCAGAGGGGCGGAACCCAGAGCACCCTGAATGAAGGGGCCCTGGGACACACAAATAAATACACACACAAAAAAACATGTTCCCCATATTTTCCCATATTTTCTGGGTTTCTGTCTTCCCCCCCAATTCCCATATTTTCCCATATTTTCTGGGAATCGAGGATTAATTGTGTCTGTGTGTTTTTTGTCCCTCCTGAGAGATGCCAGAGGGGCGGAACCCAGAGCACCCTGAACGCAGCAGCTTCTGAGACGGCCGCGGAAAGTCACCGCGCAGCGCGCGGAGCCAGGAGACCAAAAGGACCCCTCACGGAAAAAACAGTCGACTCTTTGACGCGCGTCCCCAGTGTATGAATTTCTCTCCCTGGGCGATCTCTGGCGGCTCCGGGAGGTGGATATTGGCTACCTACCAGACCACCCCAACCCAACCCGAAGACCCGAATTTCGGGTTGGGGGCGGTACGGGTTCCATGTGTGTTTTCTCAATGTTCCCCGACCCCCCCCCACTGGAAATGGAGGTCAAATTGAGAACTTCGAGTTGGGGTGGGGTGGCTTGGTGGGTGGTGAGATATGGAACGCGATCTTATCCTGGTCTCCCCCACTGGGTGATGTGCCACAACTGTGCAGCGGCCTGGGAGCTTCCGCGGCGTGCGGCCTCGAGCGGGTCCAGGCGAAGGCCCCTTCCGGGGCGCTGCCCACGCCTGCGCAAGCGCGGTCGCTGCCGTGACCTGGCAGCCCGCGGCCGGTTTTTCGAATCGTCATCCCGGGCGCCGCCGCGTGAACACGACCCCCGGTCATCTCTTCATCGTCATCCTCCATTAGGGAGGTCCAGCGGGGTGCGGTCAGATTCGGAACCCAAGCTGTCACTCCCTGCCCTGGGTGGTGCCACAGCTGCTCCACTGCCGTCACTCTCGCGAGCTTGCGGGGGGTCCAGGGGAGCGCTGTCATATCCAGACCCGTGCCTGCGGCAAATCCGACACCGTGCCAACGACGCAGTCCGCGTGCGATCCCTCGAGCACCGCCGAGAAAGCCGCGACACGTGACACCTCTCGTCTCCACTTCTTGTGAGGATGGGGCTGCAGTGAACTCCTGAGTGGCAATGTGATGGGGTCCCTTGAAGACCTCTTCGGAGTTTCTGGAGCCCTCCTCAGCCGTCTCGTAGCCCTCCGGATCCGTCTTGAACAAGTTTAGCCGTCCGGGGGGTATCGTGGGACAGGCTTGGGGTCCTCTTGTGCCGTCGCGGGGCCTCCTTGAGCCGTGTTGGGTTCCTCCAGAGCCGTGTTGGGTTCCTCTACAAGCCTTTTGGGGTCAGCTTAAAGCTCTCTTGAAGCTGCATTGGGCAGTCTGCGGACCCTCTTGGGGCTCCCAGGTGTTCCCTGGTGGGCCTTGGAGGACTGCAAGTGGAGCGACATTCGACCGACGAGGTGGAAGGAGAAACCTTGGAGCCTCTCGGGAGCCTGTTGGGACCTATGGGGCGTTTCCTAGGAGGCTTCTGGATGCCTCTTGAAGCAGTGTTGGGCCATCTTGGCGGCCCTGGTGGTCTTCCTGGGACCTCTTGGGAACCCTGGAGTGCTTCGGAGAGCCCCAGGACGTCGCCGGCCCGCCAAGGGAGCCTCGGGAGAGAGGGCCGGCACACGCGTTTCGACAGGCGCGTGTGGAAGCGCGCGAGTGTAGCCCGAATGTTAGACTGTGATGCGGACTCGTGTGATCGGCGCATGCCAGATCCACGCGGATGCACCGCGTGGTGAAATGAGAAGGCCCTGCGACGGCCCGAGAGGGCGCCAGGACGGCCCCACGACGCCCCCCAGGCACCCACCATACGGCCCAAAGGGCCCCAAGACGGCCCACAAGAGCATAAGAGGGCCCCGAGATGGCCCAAGAGGGCCCAAGGAACCCAACAGACTGCCTCCCAGGAGGCCAAGACAGGCCCAAGACTGCCCAAACGAGATTCGTCCGCATCATCATCAGCACCATCATCATCATCATCATCATCATCATCATCATCATCATCATCATCATCATCATCATCATCATCATCATCATCATCATCATCCTCATCATCCTCATCCTCATCCTCATCATCATCATCATCATCATCATCATCATCATCATCTTCATCATCACCACCAGCAGCAGCATCAGCATCAACATAAGCATCAGCATCATCATCACTATCACTATCACTATCATCATCACCAACATCATCAGCATCATCCTATTCATCATCATCAGCATCAGCATCAGCATCAGCATCAACATCACTAGCACTATCATTATCTTCATCATCAAACTCATCACCAGCATCTGCATCATCAGCATCAGCAGCAGCATCAGCAGCAGCATCAGCATCAGCATCCTCAGCATCATCAGCATCGTCACCATCATCAGCATCAGCATCATTATCATCATTGTCATCATCATCATCATCGTCATCATCCTCTTCATCACCATCAGCATCATCATCACGATCACTAGCATAATCGACATCATAATCAGCAGCATCGTCAGCATCAACAACATCGTCATCATCATCAGCATCATCAGCATCATCATCAGCATCAGCATCATCAGCATCATCACCACGATCACTATCATCAGCATCACCCTCAACCTAATCAGCATAATCGGCATTATCATCAGCATCATCACCAGCATCAGCATCCACACCATCATAAACATCGTCATCATCATCATCATCATCATCATCATCGTCGTCATCATCATCATCATCAGCATCATCATCATCATCAGCGTTATCATGATCATCATCATCGTCATCATCCTCTTCATCACCATCAGCAGCAACACACGAATAGTAAGAGCAATAAGAATAGCAAACCAAATTCAATTATTATATTTAGCAATAACAAGAATAGCAATACTAATATTAAGAAGCATCATCATCAGCAGCGTTATCACAATCATCATCGCCAGCATCATCATCATTATCAACATCAGCGTCGTCATCATCATCAGTATAATCATCGTCATCGTCAGCATCATCATGACCATCGTCTTCGTCATCATCATCGTCATTGTCATCAGCATCATCATCACCATTTTCATCAACATAAACATCAACACCACCAGCATCATCGTCATCCGCATCCGCATCCGCATCCTCATCGTCATCCACATTATCATCTGCATCCGTATCCTCACCATCACCCTCCTCATCACCACCATCGTCATCATCGTCATCACCATCATCAGCTTCACCCTCGCCATCATCATTGGCACCGTCATCATCAGCGTCAAACCATTATCGTCGTACTCAGCGTCATCGTCTATCATAAAGCTCCGGTGAGTCCGCGGCGGAGGAGGGCGGCGGAGCCGACCTGCCCTGTGAGAGGACGGCCTACGAGGCGCAAGGTCTGCCATGTCAGCTCTGCGGTGCAGGCTATGCGGCCGCCCACGGGGCGCCGGCGGGGGGCCACGAGCCGCGCGGCGAGCCCCCGACCGGCCCACGCAGCGCACGGGGCGCCCACGAGGCGCCCACGCGCGGCCACGAGCGGCGACGCAGCGAATCCTCGACGGGCCCACCGAGCGCAGCGTGCGTCCACGAGGCGCCCTCGGGCGGCAGCGTGGCGAAGCCTCTCGGCAGACCGACCCAACGACCGAAAACCGAACTCGAATCCCCTAAGCACATGCACAGCTTGGTGAGCAATGAGTGGATCTAAAGATAGACACATACACATACATCCGTACATGTATACATATATACATACATGTTTACACACATGTAGTTACACAGGTGTGCTTACGCACACTCCCATATATGGTCGAGGGTTTGAGCCCCCCCCCATGCTAATGCCATTGCGCCCCCCCCCCCCCCCCGCGCGATGGTCCCCCCCCCCCCTGCCCCTCAGGATGTGGTGTGGGTGTGGTGTGTTGCTGTGGGTGTGTGTGGGGTGACCCAGTGTCCTCCCCCCCCCTCCCCCCCTGTGGGTGTGGTGTGGGTGTGCGTGTGGCTGTGATTGTGGCGTCATGCTGACGTGCTTTCGGAAAGCTCCGGTGCTCGACGTCGTCGCCGCCGCCGCCGCCGCCGCCGGTGCCGTCGACGTCATCGTTGTCGACGTCATCGTTGTCGTCGTCGTCGTTGTCGTCGTCGTCGTCCGTCGTCGTCGTCGTCCGCCGTCGTCCGTCGTCCGTCGTCGTCGTCGTCGTCGTCGTCGTCGTCGCCGTCGTCGTCGTCGTCGTCCGTCGTCGCCGTCGTCGTCGTCGTCGCCGTCGTCGTCGTCTTCGTCGTCCTCCTCCTCCTCCTCCTCCGCCTCCTCCTCCTCCTCCTCCTCCTCCTCCTCTCTCCTCCTCACCCCCCCATCCCATCTGGGGGGGGGGCCGAGGACCCTGGGACCCATCCCATCGGGGGGGCGTGGGGCCCGTGGGCCTGGAACCCGCGATCATATATATATATATATATATAGATACACACCTGTTATACACATGTGTAAATTCATGTATATGCATGTATGTGGATACATATATATATATATATACACATGTGTGCGCGCGTGTGTGTGCTTGCGAGCGTGGGCCCCAACAATAAAGGTATTGCACTGTAGGAGTGCAAACTTGGTGGTGCAAGCTATGCTGTACTAAGCCACGTCGTGCGGTCTACGTGGCGCAAGGCACAAGCTATGTGGTGTCAGCGTATGGTGCACGCTATGCCACACAATCCACTTTTTTGGCGTGGACACTGTTTGCTGCGTCAGGCCGGCGCTCAGGACCATCCTCCAGGGGTCGGCGCACGCTCGAGTGGGGCGGCACTTGTAGGCAGGTCTTTACGATTGAAATGTTCGCTCATCTTCGAGGTCATTTCAGAATCGTCTCTGCGTTGGGAAGGGGAAGGAGGCAGGATCGGAGAGATAGACGGAGGGGGGGGGAGGGGCGGGGAGAGGAGGAGGAGCGGCACACCCTTAGAAAATTTGCCAGGCCGCGCGGAGACGGCGCGACCCTACGGGGACAGCGGCGACTTCGGCGAATGAGGCCTGGGTAGCGCCTGCCGCGGCTCACAGCACGACCTCGAGGCGCGGCACGCCGCTGTCGCCGCGGGCCAGTTGGACCTGGGGCAGCCCGAACCTGCGCCGCAGCGCCGAGGGCCCCAACGCCGCCGCGGCGGCGAGCGTGAGCGCGAGCGCGCAGCACGCGGCCGCCCGCGGCCCCGCGGGGGCGGCGGCGCCCGCGCCGGACAGCAGCAGCAGCACCGCGGCCAGCGTGGTGAGCGCGTAGGCCAGCGCGCCGACTGTCTTGTGGTACTTGATCAGGAGCGCCTTGCCGCGCACGGGCGAGCCAAAGTGCCGGGTCAGGTACCACTTGACCGGCGCCGGGTACCCCCTCGGCCCGAAGATGGCCCCCGAGCCGTTGGCGCAGGCCCAAGCCGTGAAGAGCACCGCGGCCATGGCCACCGTGCGCGGCCCTGCGTCCGCGAGCGGCAGCCCCCTGGCCGCCCCGTAAATCAGTGGCCCGAGAGACGCGGCCGCGAGGGCGCCGTGGGCCCAGAACAGTACCAGCCGCCGCCTGTGGTGCAGGCCCTGCGTCGCAGCCGCGGCCGCGAGGGAGACGGCCGCACATTGCAGGGCGGCCGAGGCGCTGAGCCAGACCAGCCAATGCTCGGCCGTGTGGGCGGCGCTGGGCCGGAGCCACGGCCGCGGCAGCGGGCTGGTGCACGCCAGCACCGCTGCGACCGCGGCCGCGGCCGCAGGAGCCACCACACGCAGGGCGCGGTGCAGCGGCGTCGATGGCAGCTGGCCGGGCGCGCGGCCTCTGGCACGCCGCAGTGCGCCGGCGGGGCACCGCCGGCTCCTGCCCCGTCCGCGGGCAGCAGCGCCCAGGCCGCAGGGCGCCGCTGGCGCGCCAGCGCCCGAGGCCCACTTCGCCGCGGCAGGGCGCGGGATCGCAAGTGCCCGCGGCGTAGCCAGCGCGGCACCGACGGTCATCGCCATGCCGCGCCCGCTACACCTCGCACCCACCCGCTGGTGGCCAGCTGGCTGGGCAAACGCGGCCCGAGCCACAATGCCACACAATCCACCTTGCAGAACTTGAAATCGTGAACCCCACTGATCGCGCAATCATCACACCCTCCCGCCCGTGACCTGTTTTGCACAACCCACGCGGCAGCGATTGCGATGACTACGTGGCGTTGGCTGGCGCATCTTTGCGGCTGCGCTAGCGCGCAAACTTGCGCGCAGAGCGATCAGCTGGATTTGGGACGCCCGAGAAGCGTACGGAAAAAATTGGCACGGCCGCTGTTGGGTAGGCGGTTTCTGTCTCAAATGGATACAGGCCGCGGCGGCGCGGACAGCGAGTCCTTTCAAAATGAACAAGAACAACTGCTGGGCATTGTACCCATTCTTTCCGTACCAATTTCGTTCGTGCCGATGGATTGGCGCAGCCGATGCAGCCGCGATAAGTTATCGCGGTAAGCGTTATCGCCGATAACGCTTACCGGTGGGAACTTCGCAGCGCGTCTCAAAGGCCGTGTTGGCGCGCGGGCATTTCAGTGTGGGTCGGTGGCTCGCGCGGGCGCGGTATCAGGATGACGTCGGCAACGGCGGTAACGTTGATGTTACCAGTGATGGTGGTGGTGAAAATTACGATGACGATGGCACGACCAATGACGGCGCCGATTCTAGTAACGACGATGACGATGATGATATCCACATGTCGATGATGAGGGTGCTGGGATGATGATGGCGAAAGTTGCAGTGATTGTCGATGATGATGACGTGGCGCGGCGGTGCTGTTTCGGGTGATTGCGAGGAAGTGCGCGCGCGAACATTTCAGAACCCTGGCAACCATCAGGTTGACATACGCATGAACGTCATACATGTCGGAAGAACTCTATGTAGCATCGCTTCGGAATACCAACGTGGTTTGGGAAGGGTTTCACCACGCGCGCGTGGCCCGCAAGGTATGACTTGAAACGGATTCGCGCACTGGGCGGAGCTGGATCAACGCGGACGCACCACCTCGTGAGCTGACAATGCTGGTTCTGAGCGAGATTGCTAACACCATCTGGACTTCCCACGATGTGAGCAAACGCGCGCGGACAGCAACTTGTTCGGTATGACTTCGGCATGTGCGTGCATGCGTGGACTTTGTGCAGCTGTTGCTCTGGGGACTCTTGGGTAATGGAAACACATCTGTGTAAACACACATGCGCATATACTGCGGTCAAAGAGTGCGCGCGCAAAATATTTACAAGGATTGGGGGGATGGCCAACTGGCTGGAATGATCTGATTCATGTAGACACTCAACGATGGGGCACCATCGTTCGTATGCAAATTGCACTGTCGGCGGGGGGGCGGCGGCGATAACCCCGAGGGGAGTGGGTGGTGGAGTCGATTATGTTTCTTGATTTCTTTGAATGGCGCATCTAAGGGTGTTGGAGTCTAGTCTTTTTGCTTGGAAGGAGCATCTGCGTGGAAGAATCAATTTTTGCCAACACATGAATTGTCAACGATTGCTTGGCCATGGCTGGCGCATCTCTGAGGCCGCAGTGGCCCGCGCAAGCTCGCGCGCAGAGCGGCCAACTGGCTAGGCACAACCAATGCGGCCGCGACGGCACTTGCCGATGGCAACGTCCAGGCGCGTGACAAAGGCGGCGCTGGCGCGCGGGCACGTCAGTGCGGGTCGGTGGCTCGGGCGGGCACGGCAGCATGATGTCGACAACGGCGGCAATCATGATGATGGTAGCGATGGTGGTGGCGATGATGACGATGACCACGGCAAGGCCACTGACGGCGCCGACCCGGTAACGCCGCTGGCCGTGATGATGTCCATGTGTCGATGATGATGGAAGTGCTTGGGTGGTGATGGGGCGGCGGCGCTGATGAGACTGCTGAAATTGCTGATGACGGTGACGTGATGCAGCGGCGCTGATGAGAATGATGGTAAGGAAATACGCGCATGCGGGAATCTGACAACCCTGGCACAATTCCTGTTGAGCACTATGAACTTGTTCATTCGTGTTTGACGAGCTCAATGTTGAAATGTTTGAGACGTCCCTGGTTGCGGAAGAGTTTCGGCACGCGAGCGTGGGGGGCGCGCGCGTGGCCTGCATGGTATCATGCGATACGGCTTCGCGCACTGGGCGCATGCCGAATCAACGCGGAAGTACCGCTTGGTGAGGTGGGGATGCGGGTGCTGGGCGGGATGGCAAAACAAAAAACCCAAGTTGGTTCGCTGTAAGCGCGGGCAGAGAAGTCGCAAGCTTTGTGATGAGGCCTACTTGCTTGAGTTAGAGGTTTGTAGGTCGGAGTGCTTGCAAAAACTCGTGTGCTTGGTTCATTTCGGCATGTGCGCGCGTGTGGACTCTGTGAAATTGTTCTGCAAGGGGTTATTGAAAGCATGTTTTGCGATAAACGACTGGCCGCGCGTACTGTTTTTCGGCAGTGATGGGGGGGGGACGATACCCGGCCTGCCTGGAACTGTGCTCTTCGAACAACGGGGCGGAAACATTTTGGTCGGCGGGGCAAGAGCGAACCTCTTCCGCTAAAAGCTAGGCGGGCTACGCACAGCTTGAATTAGGGAGACAGGGCACAACCGGGGCGGAAACATGTATCGATTGCCATGTCCCAGGAGGTGTCGAGAAGCCTGGGGGGAGAAGCCGTCGAGCCAGAGTCCATGCTTCACTCGAGAAACCACGTGGGCGCACGAGGAGCCCGCGAGAGGCGCCCACGGGCGGGCACCGGGCGATGCCTCGGCACACTTCCCCCCCCCCCCTCCCCAGGCGGGGCGCGGGGCGCCCGCGGGGCGCCCACGTGCGGGCACCGGGCCCTGCCCCCCCCCCCCCCCCCCTCCTCCTCTTCCTCCTCCTCCTCCTCCTCCTCCTCCTTCTCCTCCGCCTCCTCCTCCTCCGCCTCCTCCTCCCTCCTCCTCCTCCTCCTCCTCCTCCTCCGCCTCCTCCTCCTCCTCCTCCTCCTCCTCCTCCTCCTCCTCCTCCTCCTCCTCCCCCCCCCCGGCTCGAGGCGCCAGCGTGGTGCCCAGGAGGGGGGCACCAGGGGCGATGCCTCGCCCCCCCCCCCCCCCCGCGCGGGGCGCTCACGGGGCGCCCACGTGCGGGGGGCACCGGGCGGAAAGCTTGGCAGACACCCCGCCCCAATGCGGGGGTTCAGCGCGGGGCGGCCACGCAGCGCCCACGGGCGTCCACCAACCAGGCACCCGCCGAAATCCCGGCATACCCATCCAATTCCTTAGCCATCCAGGGAAAAGAAGCCCTCAGCGTAAGCACGAAGTCGGCGAATGCTACGCCAGAGAGCTACTCGACGCGGAAATCCTCGTACGTGGTTCTCACTTCCTGGCACCACCTACGCGCGAACCGGGAAGTGTCCCGCTCCCGGGAGGCCCAATATCCCGCTAAACATGAAGCTCTCAAAGTCAGGAGGCGCGGGTGCAAAACGAGCACCTCGCTGAAGATATCCCCACACTCCGGACGCGAGCGGGGAAAGTGCCCCCCTCCCTGGCGGCTAGAACCTCGTAGATTGCAATGATCACGAAACGCTCAGAAGAAAGGGGTCGCAGGTGCAGGACGGGCGCTTCGCTCGAGACATCTCCACAACCTGAGCGCGATCGGGGAAGTGTTCCCCTATCTGGCGGCTCCTCCCGGGGGCACCCAAGTGCCATGCCTGCGATATCGCGGTGGTCACGAAGCCCTGAAAAGAGAGGCGCCGCAGGTGCAATGCGAGCGCCTCGCTCGAGGCATCTCCACAACCTGCGCGCGAACGGGGATGTCTTCCCCTTCATGGGGGCTCCGTCGGACACCCAAATGCGACGCCTTCAATCTCGCGGGAAACACGGAGCTCCCCAAAAAATTAATCCGCAAGTGCAAAACGAACGCCTCGCTCAAGACACCCCTGCCGTCCCTGGCGGCTGCTCCTCGGGGTGCCCAGGTGCTACACCTGAACCGTTGAAGCCATCACAGGGAACGAGTCGCGGTTGCAAAACGAGCGCCTCGCTCGAGACAACTCCACGATCGGAGCGCGAACGCGGAAGCGTCCCCCCCCTTCCCGCTCCCTGGCGGCTCCTCCTTGGAGATGCCCAGATGTCGTGCCTGCTATCATGTGGTGGCCATGCAGCTCTAAACACAAACGAGTCGCAGGTGCAAACCGAGCGTCTCGCTCGAGGCATCTCCGCAATCTGAAGGCAAATGGGCAGGGCAGTGTACCCCCACATGGGCGCTCCTCCTTGGATCCTTGAGGTGCCCAACTGCCATGTCCTCTATATCGCTGCGAGCACGGGCGAGACTGAGTAGAGGAGGCGAGCATAAGAGGGTCTGAGTGTGAGTGTCAGAAATGTGGGTATCTGATGACTGGGCTGAGTATGTATGAGCTTCTGCGGGTGAGCTGTCTGAATGTGTGACTCTGAGTTTGGGTGAGTCTGAATGTGCATGTGTCTGCACATGACTGGGTCTGAGGATGAGTGCGAGTGTCCGAGAGTCTGAGTGTGAGTGAGTCTGGGTATGAATACGTCTCTGGGTATTGGTGAGTCTGATTATGAGTGGGTCTGTATAGCGAGTCTGGGTATGGGTGAGTCTGAGTGTGACTGAGCTTGGTAAGCGAGTCTGAGTACGAGTGGGTGTAATTGTATGACCAGGCTGTATGCGATTGTGGACCTACGTACGACTAAGCTAAGTAGAGTATGAGTGTACTGGAGAAGCGGGTGAGTGATGAGGAGACGTGGGCGTCACACTAATGACAAAGTCCCCGTCTTAAAATACCCAGAGAACAACGCACGGATCCCACGCATGCCCACCGTGAAAGCTGCCAGAACTTCTCCTGTGCATAATCTATACTCTGTCCATTCTCTCTCTGTCTCTAACTATCTCTATCTCTCTTTCCGCTCTACTCTCTCTCGCTCTCTCTCTCTCTTTCTCTGTTTCTCTGTCTCTGTCTCTCTCTCTCTCTCTTTCTCTCCCTTGCATTCCTTACCTCTGCGTTATACTCTCTGATCCACCGCCGTGCCCCCTGGCACGTTGAGGCGTGGAAGATTGCCAAGGTCTGCCTTGTAGGGTCCCTGTAATCTACTGTGGACCTCCTCCTCGCACACCTCGTGAAAATAAGATGGATTTGCGTCCCGACCTTCCAGGACAGCCAAGGCAGACCACACGCCGGCCCAGTATGGCGTTCAGACGGCCTACGCTGCTTCCAAGTTTGCCAAAAAAGGCCACCAGAGGACTCGCAACAAGAATTCGAAGAAAACAATCATATTGACTTCCCTTACGTGTTTGAAGAGTTTCTGGATTCTCGCTTTTCGGGCCTCCGTCAACTCAAGACGGCCTAAGAAGGCTTCAAGATGGCCCAAGAGGCTCCCTAGAGGGTCCCAATAGGCCCCAAGAGGGCCCACGATGGCCCGAGAGACATGCATCCAAAACGCCCCGAGATGGCCAAAGAGGGCCTCAGAAGGAACCGAAGACGGTCTTAGAAGGCCCTTCGACTGCCGAAGACGGCGCCACGACGGCCCCCAGACATCCCATACGGCCAAGAGGGCCCCCAAGACGGCCCAAGAGAGACACCCAAGACGGGCCTACAAAAGCCCCGGGACGGCCTTCCATCCGCAGGGGCCCCTTCAGTGCAGGCACCAGTCGGGGAATATAAGACCCATGTCAGAGCTGTGCTCTCGGAATGCCCTACAGAGGGGTCCTCATCCGGTCGCGCGCTCGAGCCGTGATAAACATATGGCAGGGCGTTCCGATGGCTGGCGCGGCCTCCCTGGAGCCCTGGAGGGGGCACGGGTGGGGCTCGTGGGGGGGCGAGAAATGGCACGGACCCTGGTGCATGACAGTGGACCTCGACGGCTGGCAGAGCCTGGCGCGGCTTCCCTGGAGGGGCAAAATGTGTTTCACCGAGGCTCGTGCAGCGGAAGCGCATGCGGGAGGAGGATGGCACTCATGTCCGGACCCGTGCAATGGAAGCACATGCAGGAGGCGGCACCCGTGCAGTGCGTATGCAAGAGGAGGTGGGACTTGTAAGCGCGTAGGGGGAGGGAAGGATTTTTGGATTGCGCTGCTGATGAAGCGTATGGCCTGTCAGCTGATGGCGGCGCTGCGGCTAGCAGAGGCGGTCAGCACAGTCAACTCGTGTGGCTATGCTAAACGGCGAGGCTCGCAAACTCTGCACGGGCACCAAGTCGGAGGGAAGGAGGAGAGGGAGGAGAGGAACCTGTCTTGAAGCATAAAAGCCCCGCTTTTGGCGTGGACGCGGGTCCTCTCACCCTGCTCCTCCCTCGCCTCCTGCGGCTCCTCGCCACCGCGCCTGGAGTTCCAACGCGACGGGGAACAGCTTCCCGCGCGCTTGCTGTCTGTACCGTCGGCGTCCCGGGGTGGGTCCCCTGGCCCACAGTGGCCCGCGCTGAAGGACTGGTCCTGGGGATGGGGTCGAGTATGTGGCTCAGGGAATGAAACAGCTCAGCGCCGGAAAGCTGGGACGGGACCTCCCTCCACTCTTCCGCCCCCCATGCTGATCTCACGGAGATCGGTGGGACATGTTGGCATATGCTTGCGCTGCGGACAGAGCAGCTGGAGCCCATGGAGGCGAATCTCAGCATTGCGAGCTTGAGGCTGCGTGCTCAACTTCTGGGCGTGGCCTGCAAACCCAAGTATATGTAACTTCAGCATTCCGTCAGCATTATGTTGGGAAGGGGGTAAAGCCACTCGCTTCATGACGTGAGCCTGAGGTGGATGTGGAGCGGAGAAGGGGGGGAGATAAATTATTGGGGGCAACGGGAAGCAAGGGAGATGCGGGCGGGGGACGAGAAATACAAGATGGGAGACACATTGAGATGGGAGAGGAGGAACTGCTGATGAAAGAGAGAAAGGGGCTACGCGAGGGAAGAATTCGGAGGAAAGGGGGGACAGCAGACAGCAAACGGGACAAGGACACTTAGAACATCGGACTGGACTGTAGAGCGCAACGCTGCAAACACGTGACCAGAAGCGAGGACATGTGAACGGCATGCGCAGATCAGGCAAACACAGCTTTCGAGGAGATGCAAAGGGATTCCGTGATCCTGTGCGCTTTGACAAGTAGAACCCTCCCATGAAATCTTCACATGTTAGCAGACACAATTTCTCGAAGGTCCGCGCAGATTTCTTGGATCAGCGCTGGACACCCCGCAAAGTACGCCAGGGGCGGCGCAGGAGGCGCCGCCAGGGGGGCCCGACGCAGATCCAAGAAATCCGCGTGGACCTCCGACAAATGACGAGCAGGAGCTGCTGCTTAGCATGTCTTGGCGGCGCTCCCCGCGACACGCTGCGCCTGGCGAGCGGACAGCGTGCCGCTCCGCTCCGGGGGGCCGGGAGGCTCGGAGAGGCTCGGCACGCTGACACCTGTGCACTGCGGCGTGGGCAGCGTGTCGCGCCGCAGCCAGAAGCGGCGGCGCGACGCGCGGAGCCAGAGTTCCTGACCGTCTGTTCGTGCCGCTCTTTCGGACTACCTACCAGACCACCCCAACCCAACCCGAAGACCCGAATTTCGGGCTGGGGGGGGGGGTAAGGGTTCCACGCGTGGTTTTTCTGTGTTTCCCGACCCCCCCCCCCACTGGAAATCGAGGGTAAATCTGAGCCTTCGGGTTGGGTTGGGGTGGTTTGGTGGGTGCCGCTCTTTCTTCGTCGAGACGAGCTGCCACGGCGGGCCCATTTGCCACCGACAGACCGCCAGGAGCGACCGCGGCGGCGCCCCGAGGCCGCCGCGCTGCCCTGCGAATGGGCGCGGCCCCCCTTCGCCGGCCTCCGCGCGCAGCCGCGCGAGGGCGCCGCGGCCCTCGAGGCTCGCTCGGGCGCTAGGGGATGCCAAGGTACTCCGTGATCCGGTGCGCTATTACGGGAAGAACCCTCTTGTGCAGTCCTCGGATGAGCTTCCAGGGCAGGCCCATCTGCCACCTGCGGCGGCAACTCATGGGAGCCTCCACTACCCATCTTGCTGGCTCTTGCGCATCGACGCCAATCGACGCTGTGCCGACGCAGACCGACGCGAAATCGGCGGCTTCTCGTCGATCGCCCGACGCTGGCGCACTGTGATGCACCCTGCAGCCAGCATCACGAGGACACATAAAACAGGGCTAGGATCGGGATAAATCGCTCCAGAGCGTTCCGGAGCGCTCTCAGAGCCTTCCGGAACGCTCTGGAGCGGCCGCGGCGCCCACTACATCCTCCAAACCCGCCGCTTCTCAGAGATTTCGAGTTATCCCGATCCGAGTTTGTCCCGATCTTCGCGTCGTTTTAACACACGAGGACCCCATGAGTTTTCACCGAACGCCGCCGATACGCCGCCAGGAGCCACCGCGGCGGCTCCCCGAGGCCGCAGTGCTGCTCCGCGAAGGGGCTCGGCACCGCCGCGCCGGCCTCCGCCAGCAGCCGCACGATGGCGCCGTGGCCCTCGAGGCTCGCGTCCGTGAGCGCCGTCCTCACGACCGGCGAGCAGATCCATATCGATCGGGGCTTCGCCAACGGGGGTTTCGCTAAACTGACTACCTACCAGACCACCCCAACCCAACCCGAAGACCCGAATTTCGGGTTGGGGGGGGGGTAAGGGTTCCACGCGTGTTTTTCGATGTTTCCCGACACCCCCCCCACTGGAAATCGAGGGTAAATCTGAGCCTTCGGGTTGGGTTGGGGTGGTTTGGTGGGTGGTGATACACGGGGGCGGAGGCCTGTGCATCTCTATCCCCCGCGTGCTGTACCCCCGCTCACGGCGCCCAGGGCCCCCCCACACGGGGGCACCGCCAAGCGTGGAAAGCAGCGTTCCCCGCACGCGCCCCCGCGTGCTGCGCCCCCGTCTCTGTCTGGCGCCCCGTGGCGCGCCCTCGCGACCTGGAGGCTCGGGGCGCGGTCCGTCGCCGCCGCGGCCCTGAGGCGGCGCGCTCTGCCCGGCAGGCGGACGGCGTGCCGCCCCGCCCCGCGGGGCTCGGGCAGGCTCGGCAGACGCCGGAGCCGGGGCGCCGGGCAGGGGAGAAGCGAGGGGGGGCAGAGCCGGCACAGGCGACGCGCTGTTCCAGATGGGCTCCGCCGTAGATGCCTCCCCAGATGGGGTCGGAGAAGAGTCAACCCGCACAGTAAGGATGCGCGAGAAGGATGCAAGGGCCTTGGGCGCCCATTTCGAAGCTTTTCGAGCGGGCCGCGGCCAACGGAAGCGGCCAAGGAGGCAAGGAGGCAAGGGTACCCTTGGAAAGGCTGCCCATCCTTACTGTGCGGGTTGACTGTAGATGGGGTCGTGGAATCAGGACGCATCGTCGATGCACGACCGACTCATCGGCGGTGCATCGGCGACGGCGGTCCTGCATCGGCGACGCCGGCGTGGAGAGCCTCGGGCGCCACATCGAGCCGCATCGCCGACGCATCGGCGATGCGGCGCGATCCTCCGACCGCATCTCCTGGGACCCCATCAGGGAGGCCTACAGACCCGCGATCGCACGGATACGTTCCGCGCGGGGCCTGCGCGAGAGCACGCCCCGTACCCGCGGGGTCGCGGCGCTGGTGCCCAGCCCGGAAGGCCGTGGACACGGATCTGTGTTTTGCGGGACTGGAAAATGACCACAGCCACTGCTTCTTGTTTGCGCCGCCTTCCAGCCGGCCGAACAAGAAATTTCACTGGTGCCAAGCTCAACGAAAATTACCACAACCACTGCTGTGTTTCTGCGGGCTGGAAGGCGGCAACAAAAGAAAAGCAGTGGCTGTGGTCGTTTTCAAGCCCCGTGGTGTTTCGCCCACGGCGTCCCCCCGTCGTCGTCGGCGGCATCGAGGCACGCGCCCGCGCTCACGAGCACCGCCACGACCTCCTTGCGGGGAGACGTAAGGCTCGGGTTCGGGGGGCTCGGGCTGGCCTGACGGGGCCGTCGGGCGAATGACGAGACCCAGTCTGGAGCCTGACGAGGGCTTCGGCTGCAAACGTGCCACGAAGCCTCAACCGTCAAATTTCAGGCTGGGCTCGTCAGGCGGCAACGGCACACCCGAGGTCCGGGGAACTCGAGTCTTACGTTCCCCCTCCCCGACCCCCGACCCTTACGAGGAGCAAGAAAAAGAACACAGACACATAATTCCGCAGGTCCTTGCGGACGTCTTGGGCCCCCGCTGGACACCCCCCTCGCTGGCGCGCCCTGGAGGCGCTGCCAGAGAGGCCCAAACGTCCAACCCAAGAAGTCCGTCCGGACCTCAGGAAGTTCACTGCGTACTGATGGCATACACCTGTAACATTAGCTAATTGATGAACTCTTTCCTCTAATTATCCCGGCAAAGCAACCTAACAGCGATGTGTAGAAGCATAGATGGAAACATTGCATGCGGTATTCATGTAAGAGCGCTGTTGTAGAATTCTGGTGTTCTCGCAGTCGCATTCGGATTCGCAGTGGCAGTCGCAGTGGCAACATCAGCGGCAGTCGCAGTGGCACTGCCAGTAGTTACAGTAGCAATAGCTACACTAACAGCAGCAACAGCAGCAGCAGCAGCAGTAATAGTAACAGTAGTGTAGCAGTAGAAGTAGTAGTGATGGTAGTAGTGGTAACAGTGAAGTAGTAATTGTAATGTGTGGAGTGAACGAGTAGGAGTGATGGGAGCAGTGGTAGTAGCAGTAGAATCACTGCTTTCGATAACGGGGATGCGGTCGCGATGGTCCGAGAAACGTTTGGCCAACTTGTTTTCGGCCCGTTCTTGTTCGGACGTTCCTTTATTTCGCTTCGGTATCCGGCCGAACTGCTTCACGTGCTCGACGAGCGTTTGCAGAGGACCGCTCAATGCAGCACGCTGAGGAGCAGCGCTGTTCCCTGCCGCAGGCTGAGGAGCACCGCTGTTCAATGCAGCAGGGTCAGGAGCAAAGCCGCCAGACCGAGAACTATCAGCATGTCCTGGCATTGAGGTGCGCAGTAGGCGCTGCGCAGTTCCTTTGAAAGGAAATCTTCGAAAGCAAGGCTGTAGCCAAGATGGCTACGGGGACGATGATGATGATGAAGATGATGAGTCTTGGAAGTCTGGGAAGTGGAAGAGCACGAAGTGGCGTACAGTTGGCTCCGGGCATTCAAAATGTTGCCCGGGAGTAAAATTCTGGTAAGTGGAAGAGCACGAAGTGGCCTACAGTTGGCTCCGCGGCATTCAAAATGTGGCCCGGGAATGGTGTTCTGGGAAGTCGAAGAGCACGAAGTGGCCTACAGTTGGCTCCGGGCATCCAAAATGTGGACAGGGAATGGAGTTCTGGGAAGTCGAAGAGCACGAAGTGGCCTACTGTTGGTTCTGGGCATTCAAAATGTGGCCCGGGAATGGAGTTCTGGGAGGTCGAAGAGCACGAAGTGTGTCCCCCGGGGGAGTCATCAGATGCTTTCTTTTGACCCCATTAGAAACCTATCAGTCTTCGCTGTTAAGTAAAAATCCACCATAATATTTTTCAATATTTTATTCAATACCTTTTTATAATCCACCTGTGCCGATCATCGGTGCAGGGCGAGTTGAGACAGAGGCAGCTCCATGTTGGGCCGCGGGAGCCCTCCAGAGGGGTCCCAACGCACCAGTGCTCCGCGCTGCGTCCACCGGGCCAGCTGTCGCTGTCTCGACCGGCCCTCCTCTGAGAGTAGGTCGGCGGCGAGCCCTGGGGAGAAGGGAGAAGGAGAACAGGGGGAAAAGAAACCTACCTCGCTTTTGACCACCCTCGCTTCCAAAAGATACCAAACGATGCCAAACTACGGCCTGTACTGGTCAGGCCGCTTAACGAGGAGGCGCGTGGTATGGCTTGGTTTTGCATGGAAGCGAAAGCGGGGTAGGTAATTCACGCTCTGAGAGAAGGCCTCCTCAGAAGGCCAGGAAGTCCCCGGGCCTTCTGAGAAGTTTTCGACACCCTGCCCGAAGACACAGAACACTGTTCAGAAGGGGTGAGGGCTCCAAAAAAAGTCCCGCCGCCTTCTGAGAAGGCCTTCTCCTTCTCACTTCGCCGCCGATCAGTCTTCCTCGGCTCCTGGTTACCCCGGAAGGCGGCATGGATCAGCGCTGTCCGCCCCGCCCCGTCAGACGCGTTGGCGTCCTTCGGTGGGTCCACAACTCGGCTCGCTGGCAGCCGCTCGCCGAGGCGCGGCCGCTGGAGGGCACCCCGAGGCTGGAAAGCCGCCGAGAGCCGACCACCAAACGCCCAACGAAACCTCCAACCCCACACCCGGAACGACCTGCGGACCTCCGACCCCGAACCTCGGGCCGAGCCTCGAGACGGCCCGAACTTCGTGCCGCTGCTCGGACGTCCATGTCCCGCACATGCTTCGGCTTCGTGCGTCTCTTGGTTTTCTGCTCGAGGCTCCAGGATGCCCTTCGATGGTCCCCGCCGAGAAACAATGCACACGTCCGAGCGAAGCCCAGGCTTCGTCGCACGCGCTGGCGTCCGCGCCCGCGCAGACCAGCAGCCGCACGATGGCCGCCCGGCCGTCAAACGCGGCCAGCAGCAGCGCCGTGTGGCCCTCGTGGTCCGCCGCGTGCACGTCGGCGCCGGCGGCGAGCAGCAGCCCGGCGAGGTCCGCGCGGCCGTGCACCGCCGCCTCCACAAGCCGAAGAACAGCAGGGACAGCATCGGGAGCACTTCTGCTCATAGGGCGACGTGGCGGCGGCCCCGGCGACACGCTCCGCGGACAGCGTGTCGCGCCGCTCCGCGGGGCGGGAGGCTGGGAAAGGCTCAGGGCGTTGACGCCGGGGGGCCGGGGCGTGGACAGCGTGTCGCGCCGCAGCACTGCGGGCCAGAACCGGCGGCGCGACACGCGGAGCCAGAGCTCCTGACCGCACGCTTCCCGAGGTCCGCGCGGGCTTCTCGGCTCGGCGCTGGGCGTCCCCCCCGGGGCAGCGCCCCCGGGGCGCCGCCCCTGGCGCTGGGGAAAGGGGGCGTTCGGCGCCGAGCCGCGAGATCCGCGATCCGCGCGGACCTCCGAGAGCGGATGCTCGTGGCGCGCTTGCTTCTTCGAATGAGCGCGGTGCGCCCCTCGCCGTCGGTCGCGTTCACGTCGGCGCCCGCCTCCACCAGGAGCCGCGCGATCTCCATCGGGCCGATCGCGGCCGTGCCCATCAGCACCGTCCAGCCGCACCGCTCGTCGGACCGCGAGCCGGACTCCACGAGCTGCCTCGCGATCTCCGTGGGGCCCTTGGCCGGGAGCACCATGAGCGGCGTGCGCCCGCGCCGCCAGTCCGGCAGCTGGTCGCCGAGGAGTCGCCGCGCGTGCCCCTCCGCCGCGGAGGCATCCTCGGCACGCGCGGCGGCCTCCAGCGCGGCCCAGGCGTCGCGCATCTCGCTGCGGATGGCGCCGGCAGTGCCCTTCCACGCGTGCCCGTGCGCCATGCTCGGGCGTTGCTTGATGGGGGTGCTACACAAAGGGGAGGTTAGGTTAGGTTAGGACAGCCCCGAGGGGAAGAGCCTCGCAAGACTAAAACAAGGGGGGGGAGTGGCACCCCTCGGAGAGGGATTTGTTACCCTGGAGGACAGAGCTCCCCACACTCTGACCAGGGCCCGCGACGGGGTGCCACAGCCCCGAAACTACTCCTCGGCCTGGAAGGCCTCCTTGGCTCGCACTCGCTTTGCGAGGGCAGCCATCCGTCGCTCGTACTCAGGGACGGTGGGGGCACACGAGTGGGCCGAGGGAACAGACGTACAAGTGAGCGTCCTAGAACGCGGCTTGGGGGCCACAGACATTGCAGTGACCGCAGCAGCTCTATCAATCAATTGACGGATACGATTACTGGGGCCTACGCCTCGCGAGTACTTGCTTAGTACCTCACGACCCTTCCTAGAGGGCCGTTGGCACTTCTTATCAAGATTACGGGAGCACCTCTGGGCCCAGCAGCCGCAGCCGCAGCGAGCCGATTCAGCTTGGCTTGCGATGGCTCTGGGGCTCTGGGGTGGGTCTCGTGAGAGGCCACACCAATAACCAGGTGCCCCAGGGAACGGCGGACGACCTGACGAACGAACTCGGGGGCCCCAGAGCAGCCCAGAGCCTCTTGGGGGGTACCCTCATGGGCGACCACCAGACAATGCTTGCACTGCAGACCTAGCAGGCCACCCTCCCACTCATGCCACCCAGGAGCGGACCTGACAGAACGGTGACGGGCAAAGGGCCTGACGCGCTTCGCTCTGGACTGGAAGGCAGGTAGCACACTAGCAGCAAGCTGGAAAAAATACCTGGCGGTCTCAACTTCAGACTCGAGGCGGTTGGCTGCCTCGGGTCCGATCGAAGCGTGCATATTGAGAGCCTCCTTGGCGTGGAGGTCGGCAGCGCGGTTACCTTTCGCAGGCGCCCGCTCCACGAGCGGCAAGTTATCTATCGCGCCCTCGCTTCGATGCGCTTTCACATGCTGGATGGACCTTATGTGGCCGTGCCCGCTGAGGGAGCGGGCGAAGGCCGAGACACCAGCGAAGACCTTACTCGCACGAAGCTGTTCGTGCTCGGGAAGGAGGGCCTGACTTATTGCTGCTTTACAGTCGGCATGCATGAAGGAGCAGCGATCTGCGATCTGGCAAGCAACAGCAATCGAGAAAGTTTCAGCCATCGCTGGGGACTGCGGAAAACCTCCAGGCACAGTGCCACGCACTACCGAAAGGGCGGCCTCGGCCTGGGGGTCAAACAAAACGACCGCGTACGCAGCACGCTGAAAACAGGACAAAATCGGCATTGCACTGCTTCCGTCCACCGCGATGTGTAGGTTATCGCTATGGCCGGCGAATTGCACAGAATTCTCGGGCTCCAGTTCGGGAAAAACCTCACCTAAGTGGTTAGGCCTACAAGTGCATCATACGGAAAAGCCACGGCATGCCAAATCATCTTGGACCACTGGAGCGCGGGTGCCATGGCCTCACGCACCGCGGGCTCGCCGTGCAATGCCAGCTTGGCACGCAAGCTCGCGCCCCCCGTCGCAGGCGCCAAGTAGGACATGGCCTGGCGACGGATGGCGAGCAGCTCCTGGTCGTCAACGCCATTGACCTCGACCCCGTAGTGAGCTGCCATCTTGATTCCAGTGGTGTAAACTCGTCCAAGCCTCTCATCGGCTTTCCTCATAGACTTGAGCTTGACCGCCTTGGCCAGGCGCTGGGAAGACTTCCGCAGACGCATCTTCCTCTTTCCAGCGGTGCGGGCTTGTCCTCGTCGCCGTCCGCAGGCGAAATCCGTGCCAAGATAGGTGACCGCTGGCTTGGACTTGTCTTTGGCGAGGCCGAGCTTAGTGGCCACCTCCATGCCAAGGGCACAATCGCTGGCCACGACGGCAACCTTATCATTGAGAGTGGCCTGAAGTCGTCGGGAAACTGCTTGAAACTGCACACCCGCTTGGATCGCAACGCCTGCGACGATGTCTCGGCCACGGCCGCTCACGTGGACTCCAGTGTCGTCGATGTAGCGCATGAAATCAATCGACGGGTTGCGGCACACAAACTGGTCGCACTCTGTGATCGTGAAGGCTCGAACCGCAACATCAGCGAAAGCACAGCCTGCTGGTAGCCCGAACGTGGCGAACAGAACTGTGCTGCTGTGGCGCAGGCCAAGGCGAAGGATGCGTGGTGACTGCCACGTGTTGAAAATCAACTTGAGAATCGGCATGGGCATGCCGCAGGCAAGGACGCGACAACGTAACACCTCCAGCGGGATGCCCTCGTAGAACTTGCTGTAGTCCATCAGAATGAGCAGGCTGTAATTGTTCTGGCTGGCCTCAGCCTCACTGCGCGCAGCCTGCAACCAAGACAGATCGAGTGCACTGCGGCCTGCCAGGGCGCCCCAGCACGGGCGGCGCAGCTGCTGGTGAAGGCCATCGAGGCCACGGCGCCGAAGTCTCTGCCAGACACGGTAAATGCCAGAGTACATTATAATCAGACGGTGGCCCTGGTCAGGCTTAGCTAGCATGGGCATGGCAATGAAACGCAACTGGCGAGGCAAAAGACCAATCCGTTCGCATGCCTCAAAGAGCGCTGCCATGGCGTCGAGCGCAGCGCGAGGAAGTAGCCCAAGGTGACGAGGATGCACTCGATCAATACTGGCTGTAGTGGTGCGCGGAAAGCTGTTAGACACATCACCAATGACGTCCGCACTGGCCCTGTCCATTGCCGTCCTGTCGGGCGTCCAGGCTTGGCTCGGAAACTGGCTAGCATGCCACAGCTTCTCATACTTGCGAACCTCAGCCTCGACGATATCATGGGGATGTGCCGAGAGCCCTCCTGCGATACGAACTACCGTAGGGTGAAGCGCATTGGGAACTCGGGTAGTACGGTGTAGTCCTCGCGAACCATTGGACGATGCCGCGTCGCACCAGTCCTGCCACCGTTGGCGATCATCTTTAACTTCATCCAGCTCGGCCTTCCGTGCATCAGCTGCAATGTCTCGACGGCACTGCTCAAGAGTTCCAGCAGCTCGGCGGCTGTCACGGTGGAGCCGAGGTGCGACACGAGTCTCGAAATCATCGTCCTGAGTGGCAGTTCCAGACTGGTCCCCGAGCTGCACATTGATGCCAAAGAAATCATCCTGGTCAAAGTCGGGCTCGTCAAACTGCAGGCCTTCCTGTCCTGAAAGGCCAACCTCGACAGCGGCCGCAGGGGCCGCTTCTGAGCGTAGATGTGCTGTGGACGGTGCTGGTAGCGGGCCTTGGGCTCCAGCTGCACGAAGTAAGGCATTGCCTACTGCGACACGCGCCTCGAGGACACTGGCATCAAGGCGTGCGCATAGCCCCTGCCCGAAGTACTCAGCGGTCGAAAACACATCCACCTCGGCTTCCAAACAAGGTACTGTGGTGTGATTGAGCCTCATGAGCTTGCACAGGTTGCCCAGGGACTGCGATAACCATGTCCAGCCGCGAGAGATCGCCTTCGCTTCAGCAACGGTCTCGGGGCGGTGATTGTAATCAACCCATCTGGCTTTGGGTGGCGCCCCCCACGAAGCGCTGCTGGACGCACCCAAGCCAGTGACTGCACTAATCTCCTTCTCGGCGGCATGGGCGAAGGTAGCCCACGCTCGAGACAAAATGCACCATGCTTCACGGACAGGCTTCTGGCGACTAGCATCGACGGCCGCCTCAGCCATCACAGAGGGGTGGTGCCAATCTGGGCCTTCTCGTGTGGGTCCGATGATGCGTTCAGCCCCATACTTCTTTGCCACCGTGTATACCATGTACTGCTGCCTTAGGCCTTCCGTAGAAAGACCCAGTGAGATGGGGCGGCGAGGTCGCTTCGGCCAGGAAGTGTCCACATGGACGGACTCAAGCAACCTCTTGGCAACAGTGTTGACAGCAAAGAAATCAATCGCACGGCTCGACTTGGGTGTGATGCAAGTGGGCAGGGACGGGGCCACGAGTACCATCCTGGCTTCTCTCGGGAAGCCTGACTCCTCGATGTCCCTCGGGGTAGCATTCCAGTCACCAGCCAGGACGACGGGGTCGGCAATCTCAGATACCCGCGTGCCGATCTGAGCCAGGATGCGCGCATTCCTGCCCTTGATGCCCTGGTTGACCACCAGGTAGAAGCAGACAATGTGCAGCGGCGGCCAGCCAGGAAGGTGCACAACTGCATGCAATGCGCGTCGCTGGTGAAGGACAGCGTGGGCGCAACCTGGTCCCCGAAGTCCAACGTGATCCCCAGCCAGAATAGCTACTCCCTGCGCGGGCGTTGTTCCCCTGGACTTGGCGCCAGGGCTGGCGAGGCACTTCCACCCACGACGACCTGCCCAGGCAACAAAATCAGCATTGTCATCATCGTGGAATCCGACTTCCTGTGCGACGAAAATTGTCGCTGACGAAGCCTGTATCTTTTCCTTCAGTGTGCGGATGCCACGGTTAGCGTTGAAGGATTCCACGAAGAACTGGCTACGGGGGTCAGCATTCGGTGGTGGCCGAACTTGGCCGTGATGAACAGGTAAGCTACTGACTAATACAGGCAGATCAAAGGCGCTGCCGTTTATCACGATGCATGGCCAGTAGCTTGTCATGGAACTTCTGCATGAGGTCTTCGTTGCTGTCGTCAGGGTTGCCCCCTTTGACAAGCTCGAACAGTACCTTTGACTCCTCGAAAGTGGGGTCGAGGTCACGCTTGACGCCGCCACCAGAGGAGCCGTCATCGCCAGGAGTAGGAGGTACATCCGAACTCTCAGCGGGCTGCTGTGGCATGGGGGCATCCTCGTGCTCAGGTACGGTTGCCTTCCGCACCTGGCCCTCGAGGTCGGAGAAGAACTTGTCAATGGTCTCCGCTCCGATGGATTCGAGGGCGGTGCGGATCTCCTCGGGGAGCCCATCCTTGTCGAACTTGAAATCAGAGAAGAGGGGCCGCTCGGGGGCGACAGCCTTCGCGGTCTCAGCGAAAGACTTCTTGTAGCCATCGATCTCCGCCTCCTTGGAGACGATTGCGGCCCTCTTGTTCTCCAGTGCGGCCTGGAGATCGTTAACTTGCTTGGACATCTTCTCAGCCTCGCGCTGGAGCTTGACCAACTGGGATTGCGCATTCTTGAGCTTGTCCTGGGCCCTGCGATGGGCAGCCTCGGGAGACTGGACGCTCTCGAGCTGCACACGGAGGGTCTCGAGCTCGAGCTGGTGCGCCTGCTTAACATGAGACGGCAGCGACGGCTCCTTGATGGGACTTCTCATAGAATGCGATCGACGAGAGAATCTCCGCTCGGGTGGCTCCTGCATCCTTCGGCCTCTCAGCACCTGTGCCCTGGTCGGGCGTCGGGTCCTTGAGGCTTGTGTTGGCCAACTTGCGCTCGAGCGCGGCCAGCTGCTTGCGGAGCTCCTCGTTCTGGTCCCGTGCCCATGGCGCTGGTGTGGGACGACGGCCACCAAGCACGGGCTTCCTCCCTTGCGCTTCCTTCTCGGCTCTAGCATGTGCGGTCTTGGCTGCGGCGACGATGCGAGCCGGGGCAGCTGTGCCGCAACGGCATCGGACACGGCACGCCCAGTTCTTGTCTGCGCCGCAACTGCATCCCCAGTACGGCGACCTGGGGCCGCGCAGCACATCAGAGGCGGGAGGCGGTGGGACCATGGGGCTCGCGAGCCCTCCAGCTGGAGGACCCCTGAAACCCTCGACTGAGGGGCCTCCGTGAGGAAGGGTGGAACTGGTGCAGGCGCCCAACCCCTGCAGTAAAGGCGGAAAGCTTCGAGGGCAAGCTGCGGACTAGCGGTATCCGTTTTGGCCCCAAGGGAACCAGGCATCTTGAGCCAAAATGGCTACGGAGTACACAAAGGGGAGGAGGAGGAGGAGGAGGAGGAGGAGGAGCGACCGTACCAAGAAAGGACGAGACGAGGGCAAGCGGGCAAGACGCGAGAAGAGGGCAAGTGTCCGCGCGTCCGCTTGTCTCAGTCTATGGCCGCATCGCGTGCCGTGCAGTAGCTAGGCACTCGGTGCCTGTAGTGTAAAGAAGCGCGGCGCTCGGCGCGGCGTGCGTAACGATACGCAGTTTGTTATAGAAGTGAAAGGACAGTGCCGAGGAGAAGGAGGAGGAGGAGGAGGAGGAGGAACGTGCACCTTCCGTCCTCCCTTTCGGGCCCCACGGGGCACAAGAGGTGCACCTGCCTGCACTCCCCCCCCCTCCATCACGCAACGCCCGACATACGTTGTGCCCTACCATGCCGGCGACGGCATCTGGCCGGCAGGGCGGGCGACTTGAGACTGATGCGGGCGATGGAGAGGACGAGAGCACGGGAAGCGACTGGGGAGAGGCAAGTTAGGTATACACTCGCGCCGCATGTGACATCATACCCATCCCGACCATCCTTTCTGTTGCGCTGATTTGTCTCTGTCCGCCAATTGGAGTCATACTGTGAGGGCATTGGACGAGGAATCATTGGATAAGGACGCCAGGGTCAAGAAGCCAGTGGACCGATTTCAGGCTGGGCCATGGATTGCGCCGCCACCCTGATCAGACAAGGAGTCCTCCAGGGTCTGGAGCCTCCTGGACACACTGCTCAACGAACACCCCCGCCGTAGCAGACCTGCGACACCAAACGTGACACCATCGCGTCACGCGCAATCTGAAAAGGGGAGCTGTGTACATTGAAGGGGTGGGGAATCGTATGGGCAGGAGGATGCTCAGGAGGATGAGCAGGAGGATGGTGAGGGAGGATGATGAAGGAGGAGGAGGACGAGGAGGAACTGCAG